CGTGGATTTTTTAAAGAATATTTTTTCAAGGACCAACAGGCCAATAAACGTGGATTTTAAAAGAATATTTTTTCAAGGACCAACAGACCAATAAACGTGGATTTTAAAAGAATATTTTTTCAAGGACCAACAGACCAATAAACGTGGATTTTTTTAAAGAATATTTTTTCAAGGACCAACAGACCAATAAACGTGGATTTTTTAAAGAATATTTTTTCAAGGACCAACAGACCAATAAACGTGGATTTTTTTAAAGAATATTTTTTCAAGGACCAACAGACCAATAAACGTGGATTTTTTTAAAGAATATTTTTTCAAGGACCAACAGACCAATAAACGTGGATTTTTTAAAGAATATGTTTTCAAGGACCAACAGACCAATAAACGTGGATTTTTTAAGGTTATTTTTTTCAAGGACCAACAGACCAATAAACGTGGATTTTTTAAAGATTATTTTTTCAAGGACCAACAGACCAATAAACGTGAATTTTTTTAAAGAATATGTTTTCAAGGACCAACAGACCAATAAACGTGGATTTTTTAAGGTTATTTTTTCAAGGACCAACAGACCAATAAACGTGGATTTTTTAAAGAATATGTTTTCAATGACCAACAGACCAATAAACGTGGATTTTTTAAGGTTATTTTTTCAAGGACCAACAGACCAATAAACGTGGATTTTTTAAAGATTATTTTTTCAAGGACCAACAGACCAATAAACGTGGATTTTTTAAGGTTATTTTTTCAAGGACCAACAGACCAATAAACGTGGATTTTTTAAAGATTATTTTTTCAAGGACCAACAGACCAATAAACGTGGATTTTTTAAAGATTATTTTTTCAAGGACCAACAGACCAATAAACGTGGATTTTTTAAAGAATATGTTTTCAAGGACCAACAGACCAATAAACGTGGATTTTTTAAGGTTATTTTTTCAAGGACCAACAGACCAATAAACGTGGATTTTTTAAAGATTATTTTTTCAAGGACCAACAGACCAATAAACGTGGATTTTTTAAGGTTATTTTTTCAAGGACCAACAGACCAATAAACGTGGATTTTTTAAAGATTATTTTTTCAAGGACCAACAGACCAATAAACGTGGATTTTTTAAAGATTATTTTTTCAAGGACCAACAGACCAATAAACGTGGATTTTTTAAGGTTATTTTTTCAAGGACCAACAGACCAATAAACGTGGATTTTTTAAAGAATATTTTTTCTAGGACCAACAGACCAATAAACGTGGATTTTTTAAAGAATATTTTTTCAAGGACCAACAGACCAATAAACGTGGATTTTTTTAAAGAATATTTTTTCAAGGACCAACAGACCAATATACGTGGATTTTTTTAAAGAATATTTTTTCAAGGACCAACAGACCAATAAACGTGGATTTTTTAAAGAATATTTTTTCAAGGACCAACAGACCAATAAACGTGGATTTTTTTAAAGAATATTTTTTCAAGGACCAACAGACCAATAAACGTGGATTTTTTTAAAGAATATTTTTTCAAGGACCAACAGACCAATAAACGTGGATTTTTTAAAGAATATGTTTTCAAGGACCAACAGACCAATAAACGTGGATTTTTTTAAAGAATATTTTTTCAAGGACCAACAGACCAATAAACGTGGATTTTTTAAAGAATATTTTTTCAAGGACCAACAGACCAATAAACGTGGATTTTTTTAAAGAATATTTTTTCAAGGACCAACAGACCAATAAACGTGGATTTTTTAAAGAATATTTTTTCAAGGACCAACAGACCAATAAACGTGGATTTTTTTAAAGAATATTTTTTCAAGGACCAACAGACCAATAAACGTGGATTTTTTTAAAGAATATTTTTTCAAGGACCAACAGACCAATAAACGTGGATTTTTTTAAAGAATATTTTTTCAAGGACCAACAGACCAATAAACGTTGATTTTTTTAAAGAATATTTTTTCAAGGACCAACAGACCAATAAACGTGGATTTTTTAAAGAATATGTTTTCAAGGACCAACAGACCAATAAACGTGGATTTTTTTAAAGAATATTTTTTCAAGGACCAACAGACCAATAAACGTGGATTTTTTAAAGAATATTTTTTCAAGGACCAACAGACCAATAAACGTGGATTTTTTTAAAGAATATTTTTTCAAGGACCAACAGACCAATAAACGTGGATTTTTTAAAGAATATGTTTTCAAGGACCAACAGACCAATAAACGTGGATTTTTTTAAAGAATATTTTTTCAAGGACCAACAGACCAATAAACGTGGATTTTTTAAAGAATATTTTTTCAAGGACCAACAGACCAATAAACGTGGATTTTTTAAAGAATATTTTTTCAAGGACCAACAGACCAATAAACGTGGATTTTTTTAAAGAATATTTTTTCAAGGACCAACAGACCAATAAACGTGGATTTTTTAAAGAATATTTTTTCAAGGACCAACAGACCAATAAACGTGGATTTTTAAAGAATATTTTTTCAAGGACCAACAGACCAATAAACGTGGATTTTTTTAAAGAATATTTTTTCAAGGACCAACAGACCAATAAACGTGGATTTTTTAAAGAATATGTTTTCAAGGACCAACAGACCAATAAACGTGGATTTTTTAAGGTTATTTTTTCAAGGACCAACAGACCAATAAACGTGGATTTTTTAAAGATTATTTTTTCAAGGACCAACAGACCAATAAACGTGGATTTTTTAAAGAATATGTTTTCAAGGACCAACAGACCAATAAACGTGGATTTTTTAAGGTTATTTTTTCAAGGACCAACAGACCAATAAACGTGGATTTTTTAAAGATTATTTTTTCAAGGACCAACAGACCAATAAACGTGGATTTTTTAAAGAATATATTTTCAAAATACATATGTAATTGTCAAATGTGTTGGCTGATGTTGTCATTGTTTTACGTCTTTCTTGTTTTTGTCTTCAATATAAATTCTGTTAAATAATGGACTGCTGACTTAGAAAATATTTCGAATATAATAAACAACACGGTTGCTTAAGAATGACAGCAGTCTGTATTTGGTTGCAGTTTTTTCATCTCATAGATTTGATAGAAATATTGAGATGTGCCAGGTCTGAATGGAATCAAATGTTATTTTCGCGTTTTATGTCCTGTTCAAATGTCCTGAAACGGGTTTAAGATTTTGAATCGACTCCATAGAGGGTCAACAATTTGAATAGTCATAACAGAAGTCAAAAGATATTTAAACAATCGAACATTGCCTTTACTTTTTAACTTGTTTAAACTTCCCTTTAATATCCCAAACAGGAACGTACGCCATCACAGACCCAGCGCACTTCCCTGAGGCTTTTGAAAATCCACGAATTAACTACTTGTGTGCAATTTTCGGTGTATTTTATTTGGAAAAGGAGATTTTCGATTCAAATGTCCCAAAACCCAATCATTTAACTTACCTTTCCATCCCAGTTTGTGAAATTCCTACAGAAGTTTTCCAACTTCATGTTGTGTCTTTGGTTTCCTATCCGACTTTGGTTTTCTATAGAATTTTGATTTTCCATATATTTTTTTTAATATTTTTATGAGATTACCTGACTTATTAGCCCCAACTCGGGATTTTTAGACTTCCCTTACTATTCCAATTAGGAGATACTATGAAATTTTTAAGTTCTCCTAAATGTTCCAAATTGCGGATTTTTTATATAATATTTTCCTAACATATTTTGGTTTTCTAACGAATTTTTCTAACTTCCCTTCATGTGTGTATTCGTGGATTTTTTAAAGAATTGTTTCGTCTCTTCCAGAATTTTCTAAATTATTTTTTTTAATTTTCTGAGAGTATTATCGAGTTATTTAACCATTACTCTATATTTTAAAGCTTCTGTTATGACCCTAGTTTTGAGATTTATATGAAATTCTAGATCTTCTCAGAGAATTGCTGTTACGATCCACGGATTTTTCAAAAAAAAATGTAGCTTCTCTTTTCTTTTTCTCTCTCTCTCTCTCTCTCTCGTAACTATTATTTATTGACCCCAATTCAATTATTGTTTTCAATTATTATTTATTGACCCCAATTCGAGGTATTTCTATAAAAATTTCCAACGTCGCTAGGTACCAATTCCTGAATTTTATTAAGAATGTCTTTAATCGATGTTCTTCTTACGATTTTTGATACTTTCCTCTAAGTTCCAATAGGGAATTTTTAAATAACCTTCTCAAACCTCCTTCATAGAAGCAATATGTGAATTAACTGAAACAAGTCCAAGGAAAAGCAGTATGTTTTCAGTTTATGGACTCATTACAAAAATCTACCTCCGCATGCACATATTTGTTCTCTTCACACCAATTACTCTGGCATTTGGAAAATAATTTATGAAATACATAAATATTTCTACGTTTAATTACAAAACTTTTGCCAAGTCTCTGTTTTTTTTGCTTTTCACACAATTAACTGAGAAATTTTAATTTAAATGGATTACATCAACGTTTATATTTCCGTGAATTTCATTTTCAATGCGTTAATCATGCCAACGGTGACAGTAACCGCTATGGTTGCAACTTCCCACAGAGGTTCTGGTATCATCTGACTACCAGCAAAGGCATTACATTGACTTGCATTATTTTAGAGACAGCTATGGAGAATTGAAGTTCATGTTTGTTGCCTAAGTCTTTTGTTGGGCAAGAGAAAACAACAACAGCATGGCTTCACTCACTCAAAGGCGCCCACACATTGAATAACCAGCCAGCCGTCATTGCCCATGAATGGTTGCAAGTGAGGGTTGTGTGAGTGTCTGTTTCTTGATTTCAAGTTTGTTGCCTAAGTCTTTTGTTTTGTTCTTCCCTCGCCCGTATCATATGACAAATTTCTTGATGACGAATAGCTTTTCCATACATAATAAGCTTATTATTAAATATGAATTTTAAAGTTTCAGGAAAACAACAAAAAACAAGAACTACAAATGTATTTATTATCTCTCTTTTGTCTCTCTCTCTCTCTCCCTCTTTCTCCTTAATTACTTATTCCAGGCACACACAAAGTTCATTGCAGCGAAGATTTAATGCGCGTTGAAATTGGCCTACCAGAACCCATAGCGGCAAGCAGTAGCAGCAGTTCAGACAGCTCCTCCTCCTCCACCTCCTCGTCGTCGCTGAACAATGAAAGCCCCCAAATCTATTTGGAAGGCCTCAAGGGCTATCCGGATGAGCGCTGTCATCCCGAAATTAACGGTTCGCTGGCCATCTTCCGTTTATCGCTGACTGATTTCTATGAGTGTGGTGTTACGCGTATGGTGAATCAATTAACGGTATGTAGAACCCCCCCACCAGTTGTTTATACGATAATAAGACATGGTTCCTCTCCCAATGATTTTAATCTTGTGTTTTGGTTTTCATATTTTATCATTTCATACATTTTTTTTTTATTTTTGTTCTTGCAGGGCAAAAAAGTCTATTATCACAAAATCATAATTCAATCGTCGAATGGCAAAGAAATCGTCAGTGTTAAATGCATCACCAGTGGTCCGGTTTTCAATTTGATGATGAATGAAACTGCCCAAGAGCAACCACGTTTTGTTTTACAAGAGCAGCAGCATCATGGCATTGTGAGACGTGACGTTCTGCCAGCTGGATTTCAAGAACCAGAGTAAGTTGTTATTCTTGTTGTTGTTGCTTTAAATCCCCAGGATATTGAAGATTTTAGATTTCTATCTGTTGTTATTATTGTTGTTCAATTTTGTTATGGTGGTCATTTTTTTCGTTGCTTTAAAAGCTAACATTAATGGAAAATGACGTCACGACTTATTTTTCCTTTGTTAGAAGTTGGGGGTATGGATGGGCAGTTCAATGAATGCCACGCAAAAGAAATCACTATTTTTGTTAAAAATTTCCATGTGTGGTGAATCAATTGTAATTTAAAATTAATTTTATTTATTGGCGGGAAATATGGCTTAAAATCGCAATGGGCCAGAAAGAGGGCGAAGGGGGGAAATATTTTAAGGTATCACATCAAAACTTTAAGATGGACTATCTCTGGTCAAAGAATCGTTAAAAACGTGTTAAAAAGTATCATTCGGTTTTGACCATAGATGTATACCCCAAAGGCTTGCGTTGTGATTGGTCAAACTGTTGACTCCTTGAGAGGAAGGTTCCGGAGGAGTGCTCCGCCATTTCGTATCTGACCTTTACAACGAGCCAGATCCACTACTTCCTTCACATTTTATGAGATTTTTGATAATTTTTGTAAAATGTTAAAATATGAGCGAGGTACCATATACAGCGTGAGATGAAAAAACTGCAACCAACTTCAGACTGCTGTCATTTCAAAGCCACTCGTCCGACAGCTGTTAAAATTATTCCAGTCATAGCTTACAACCGTACAAAGGCATTTTGGTGAGAATTTTCCAGAAAAAAAGTTATTCGTGATGGAATTCAAGCGTGATAGTATGATTTCTTTATATTTGGTTGGAAAACCACAAGTGGCTATCCTTGGAGCACTCCAGCATTTAAATGTGAATAAATCTTCGTCGAGGAAGTGGACGGAAGAAAACAATAACATCAGCAGAAATTGTTCGAAAAATAAAGAAGCGACTTGGTCGAAACCCGCGCCGCAGTGGCTTAAGTATGACTAGTGAGTTGAATAGATCGGAATAGACCATTCGGTAAATATTGAAAAAATGAGCTCGGGGTAAAGTCATTGAAACTCCAAAAAGTGCAAGAACTTACGCCGCAACAGAAAGAAAATACACTCAAAAGAGCTAAAGAGTTGCTTCGCCTGGCCAAAAGTGATGAACTGCGGAATTTGGTTTTCTCCGAAGAGAAAACATTCGTTGCTAAAGAAAGGTTGAAAATGTACACCTTCGGTTGGCCACCAGAACTCAAGCGCCGGCCATGGTGATGGTGTGGGCCGCCATAACAGCCGATGGCCACTCTTCAGAATAAATGCCGAATATTATCGCGAAAACATTCTGGATGGAAAATATTCAACTTTGGTGAGGGAGGTACCAGAAGGAGTTATTTCAAAACTTTTGACAGAGATGTCATATCGAAGCGCCAGTCCAAGCAGATTTTTACCATGGACCAATACACGCCACGCGAGCGCTCTGAAATAGTTGAAATTTACATTCAACAGAAGAAGTCAATTGTGAAAACTCAACGTGCTTTTAGAACATTAAAAAATGTGAGAAGTGCGCCTTCTAAGAACACCATTAAGCGTTTATACGAAAAATTTTCGACTGGTAAGGCTCTTTCTAATCCGAAGAGACCATATAAAAGTCGACCAAGGCGATCGGCCGAAAATATCGCTGCCGTACGAGCCAGTGTTGATAGGTCCCCAAGAACATGCCAAAAACGCCGTTCTCCGCAGTTGGGCATGGCTCGGTCCACTTTACAACGGATTATTCGCATTGATTTGCATTTGTTCCCGTACAAAATTCAATTCACGCAAAGAATGTTACCTGCGGACAAGCCTCGTCGATTGGAATGGGTCCAAAGGGCCCAAAGGTCCGTCGAATATGGGCAACCCTGTATATTTCATCTTCCCGTCAGATCTTGTGATGGTAAAAATATTGGGATGTTGGTAACTTGAAGACAATCGGGCTCTTATTATACATTTCATAAAAAACAATTTTTTGACCTTTGTGGGGAGGCCGATATTGTACATTTTCGCACCCGACCTAGAACTGATACTAGTATTGGGTTCTGCAAAGTTTGAACAAAATTGGATAATGCTTTTTTGTTCTATTGGGTAAATTATTATACCCTCAGCCATATGACTATATCATTTGATACTGCCAAAACGTGCTTAGTCGAATAACGGTTTGAAACCCATGTCTGTTTGGACCAAATCCGTTTCAGGACATTTGGAGTAGATCTAGGAATGTCCGACCGTCCGTCTGTCTGTCTGGCTGGCTGGTGCACACGATAACTCTCAAAGGGAATATCCGATTTGATCCAAAGTTGGTGCATCGTAATATCAATGTCAAACTAAGATTGAGTTCGGAAATGGGCAAACTACACACCCCCCCCCCCCCCCCCCCCTCAATATAAAAAAAATAATTTACTGCACAGAAAAAGAAAAGATAATCCAATTTCGCTCCAACTTTGCAAGGCCTAATGTTTGCAACAGTGCTAGATCAAGTGTGAAAATGGGCAATATCAATCTACCCCATCAAGTACCTCCCCCACAAAGGGTCAACATTTTTAATAAATATAACTGTTATAAAATGTGATATAAGAGTCCGACTGTCTTCAAATTACTCACATCACAATATTTTTATTACCCCAAGGTGTGGTAACAAACCCCCACCCCAACCCCCACGTCAAAAAAGGGTTAACTTTTTGAATATTCATGAAACGCGAAATTAACATCCGATTCCATTCAAATTTGGCACATCTTCATATTTCTATTAGTACAAGATCTTTTATAAAGATGGCAGAGATCGGTCCATACCTTCTGCTACCTATCCCACAAAGGGTCAACATTTTCAACATCCACGAAACTTATATAACGTGAAATCCGCTTCCATCCACACTTAAAACATCTTAATATTTCTATCACCACAAGATTTACTATAAATACGAGTTCGGACCGTCCCTTCTGGTACCCCTCACAAAGGGTCAAAATTTTAAATTACCAAAACGATCATAAAATCCAAAATAAGCATCCGGTTCTCTTCATTTTTCACACATCCCATTATTTCTACTAACACAAGATACGCTCTAAAGATGGAATATATTGATCCACACCTTCTGTTACCTCCGCACAAAGGGTCAAAATTGTGAATATCCTTAAAGCTAATAAATCGCGAAATGAACATCCGATTCCATTCAGACTTAGTAATATTTCCATCAACATAAAATCTGTTATAAAGATAGAAAAGATCAAACCATTTCTTCTGGTACCTCTCCCAAATAGAAGAAAAAACAAAACGCTTAAAGAAAGCGAAATAAGCATCCAACTCTCTTCAAATTTCACACATACAAACATTTTTCCTAACACAAGATCTGTTGTGAAGATGATATATATCTGCCAACACCTACTGGTACCTCACCCACAAAGGGTCACAATGTTCAATATTTTTATCTGTCATAACTTTCGAAACAAGACAGCGATTCTTTACAACTTGCTATATTTAAATATTTCTCTCAACCAGAACCATGAGATTAATATCGAATTTATGATTCCGCATAAAATTGGATATAAATGTTCGATTTTTTTTCTTTTTTTTTTTTGTAAATTTGTCCATACCAATATTTGTATCTGTATTTGATGGAGTAGAACATTTCACATTTTCCAAACATTATCACATATCTCATATAAAGTGAAAGAAGTAACCAATACAGCTCATAGGTGGCACGTCGCAATATTTATAACATATTCATTTAGGGCTGAAATGGACAATATTGGCGCATTCCTTCGGAACCTACTCCATAGAGGATCAATAATTTGAATAATCATAACAGAAGTCAAAATATATTCAAATAATCGAATTTTGGCTGAGGGTATACCTCTGTCGGCTAAACCGAATGATACTCTTTAACTTGTTTAAATAATTATGAAAAATATTTCTCAACCAATAAAAGCCCAATATCCGCTCCTCATTGCACATTTAATATCCTGCCTTCCACGAAGGGAAGTAATGAAAATAACCATACGCAAAATTATCAATCTAAAAACCTAAAGTCATTATGAAAAACAACTTTATGAGTTTTAAAGGGCTTCCAATCCGGCATGTGTTGCAGTATGATTAAATTTTATGACCATCATTACGGTGGCCACCACCAGCATACATTTTTATGGCCCAGTAAACAGTAGAAGCGATAATAATAGAGGACAGGCCATGCATTGCCGGGCAATGCATAATTATTGTCAACAGGTTGCTATAATTTACGCAGTCATCTAAAACGACAAGCAGGCGACGCCTATTATTTGGCCTCATCATAAGGTATATGATAATTATGGTGGGCCACAATGATGGAATGGAATTGATTTCGTTGTTGTTTTTTTTGTGGGCTTGCATAGGGCCACTTAATGTCTGAGGACTTGAGGGTATTTGCTTGTTTTTTTTAAACCCACCCAACTGCAAGTGGGTAATTAAATATTAACATTTTTTTTTTGCGATTTTTTAGAGACTTGGAAATCACCACATCCCTAACGGAGAGGGCACCCGAACCCCGTTTGGCCATTGGTGTCAGCCAGAATGGCAAAAGAGTAACGGGTGATTTGACCGTAACACCTGGTACCCCGCTAACCATGGAAATCAGTTTGGATCGTGAATCGGCACCCGTATATGGTTTGGGTGTCAATTATTTGGAAGTAACCGATACCCGCCTGCTGTCGGAGACCATTATTTTCAAGGGGTAAGTTGAGGAGAGATTGAGATATAAGTATTTATACCTTCCACCATACATAGTGTGGAGGGTATATTAAGTTCGTAATTCCATTTGTAACTCATCAAAATAATAATTTTAGACCCAAAAAAGTATAAATACTCTTGATCAGCGTAAAATCTGTCCGTTTATCCGTCCGTCCTTCCGTCTGTTGTAATCACGCTAGAGTCAAAACGAATAAAAATGGGAAGCTACAATTTTGTACCAATCTGTCTTTTGTCTGCAGGCAGGTCAAGTTCGAAGATGGGCTGTATCGGTCAACGATATCGTACAGCCGCCATATAACGGTACCCCCGATGTTCGGTATTTTGACGATTTTAACCACATTTTTTAATGGAATTGTCTGAAATTCTACACAAGGAGTTCCTCGTAACTATTTTACCCCCTGAAAAAGAATTGTCCATATAGGTCCACGATATCCTATATCCCCCCTATAACTATACCTCCCGATATTCGGCAGTTTGATGATTTTAGGCACAATTTTTAATGGAATTGTCTGAAATTCTACAGAAGGAGTACCTCGTAACTATTTTACCCCCTGAAAAAAGAATCGTCCATATAGGTCCGCGATATCGTATATACCCCATATAACTGTACCTCCCGATATTCGGTATTTTGATTATTTTAGTCACATTTCTTAATGGAATAGTCTGAAAATTCGCACACGGAGTTCTTCTGAGTACTTTAGACCCTGGAAGAAAATTTTCTTTATAGGTCCACGATATCGTATAGCCCCCATACAATGGTGGCACCCGATATTCGGCATTTTGATGACTTTGGCCACATTTCTCAATGGATTAGTCTGAAAATCCACAGAAGGAGTTCCCTTTGAGTACTTTAGCCCCTGGAAGAGAATTGTCTATATAGGTCCACGTTTTCGTATAGCACCCATATAACGCTACCCCGAGATATTCGGTATTTCCAGAATTTTCGCTACATTATTCACCGGAATTGCGTCAAATTTCGTATTTGAAGTTCGTAATGGATACTACAGCCTGTGACAAAAAATTGTCTGTGCAGGTCTACATATCTGTATAGCCTCCGTATAACGGTACCTCCCGATATTCGATATTTTGACGATTTAAGCGACATTATTCAACGGAATTGTTTCAAATTTGGTATCTGAAGTTCGTAACAGATAATACAACCTAAGACAGAAAATTGTCAGTGGAGGTCCATGTCTTCGTATAGCTCCCATATAACCGTACCTCCCGATATTCGGTATTTTGACGATTTCAGCAACATTATTCACCGAAATAGTTTCAAATTTCGTACTGGAGGATCCTAATGGGTACTTCATCCTAAGACAGAAAATTGTCTGTGCAGGTCCACGTCTTCGTATAGCCCCCATATAACGGTAACTCCCGATATTCGGTATTTTGATGATTTTAGCGACACGATTCACCGGAATTGTTCCAAATTTGGTATATGAAGTTCGTCATGGATACTACAGCCTATGACAGGTCTGTTCAGGTCCACGTTTTGATATGGCCCCCATATAATGGTACCTCTCTATATCGCGTATTTTGATGATTTTAGGTACATTATTCACCGAAATTGCGTAAAATTTCGTATTTGTTGTTCGGAATCGTTACTGCAATCTATGACAAAAAAAATTACTTATCCAGCACCACGTCTTCGTATAGCCCCCATTTGAAGGTTTTCATTTTTCGAGGAATTTATTTATTTTTTATTTTTTTTTTTTTGCTTGAAAATTTCAACTTCTTTCCGAATTGTGGAGGATATAAACAGATCGGCCCGACCGAACTTAGACGCTTCTTTACTTGTTTATATTCAATTTATTTTATTTTTTTATTTATTTATTATTATTTTTTTTTTTTTTTTTTGTAGCTGCACTGTGGACCCCTATCTTTTTGAAAATTTCAACACCATCGACGGTGATACCTTGAGTGCTAAGTTTAAGGCTTTCAAATTCCCCGACTCCTCGTACGTGCAGTTCCGTGCCACAGTCAATGTGTGTCTGGACAAATGTTTGGGTACCCAATGTTCGAATGGCCAAATCGGCTATGGCCGCAGAAGACGTGATACCTCAGAGGCCATGATGTCACCCTTCCAGGATACCAATAAAGTCTATGAAATCTCCTTGGCCATGTTCATTAAAATCAACGATATTGAGGGAGTTAATCGAAGTGAGTAGGCAACTATTCCAGAATTATTTGGAATATTCATTGAACTTTTCCAAATTTGCATTTTTCATTTCCAGATGAAGTCTTGCGCCTGGAGGAAAAGCTTCGCGAATTAAAATTGGCCAATCAACGTTTGGCTCGCAACAGTCGTGGCCATTTCAACGAGCCCTTGGTGAAAACTTACGAACAACTGCCGTTGTCGGTGCCTGCCTTTGTGGTCGATGAAAAGGAACTGGAAGAGGCACGGAATGCTGGTCAAACCGCTGCCCCAGCAGTATCAAGTGAGATATTTATCGCCACATTGGTAGCAATGCTGTGTAAATTTTTGTAAATAATTAAAAAGAAGAAGAAACAGAACCTCAAATATTAAACATGGACAACACCAACAACAACAACAACAGGCAATATGGGATTGTGAAAACAAAAGAAACCCTCCCCGATTTCTTTTTGTAAAGTTATTCTCCCCCCTCCCCAGAAAACGAAACACTCCCAAGGTCTTAATTTAACAAAATTATTAAAGAGTAGCCACAGAAAAACTTAATATTTTTGTTAAATTGACACAAACATATTTACGAAACACATAAAAATAAAAATAATAAATACTGTAAATCTTTTATAATAGAGTATCGAAAAAAACACATATTTTTTTAACTATATATAAATAAAATAATATTAACTTTTTTTTAAAAACATTTGCTTTAAACCCGAGAAAGAAAGAAAAAACTAAATTTGAATCTCTAATCATTTTTGAAAATTATAACTGCTTAAAATGTAACTGCCATTTTTTTAAATACTATTTGCTATAAATAAAAGGAAAAATCACTTTTGGTTATAGGAATACTAATGAAGTCCTTCAGATCATCGAGGGGTATAATTTATGCCCCAGCAAACCACAAAGCTCTATAATTGTAATGATCATGTGCGATGTGATACACGAAGTCTTCATTATCTCGGCCCCCTATGCCTCCACCCTAAATCTAATTTAAAAAAAAAACACCTTTTACAATAAGCAGATTTTCGAAAATCAAAACTTCTTGATTTGTAAAATTTAAAAAAAAATTATATCGATTTTCTTAACAGACCTCATACTATTTTTGCCTTCTCTTACAATTAAGCATTACTAGTCTACTAAGTTTAAAGTTTAAGTAAGTCGTATTAATAATCAAAAAAAAAAAAATAATATTAATAATAAATAATAATATCAAAACAAAATTATATTAATTAATTGTAAAGCATTGAAAAATTTTTAATTAATAAAAATAATAAAAACTAACTACAAAAACTATCATGATTTTATATTAATTACTAGCAAAGGCCCGCTACTTCGTCAGCGGAAATTTAGCTTCGTTCCAACAGCTCGTGTTAGGTCTTTTTATACCCTCAACCAAAATATATATATATATATATATATATATATATATATATATATATATATATATATATATATATATATATATATATATATATATATATATATATATTCTTGATCAGCATAAAATTCTATGTCGACTTAGCAATGGCCGTCCGTCTGTCCCTCTGTCCGTCTGTCCGTCTATCCGTATGTACGTCTCTGGAAATCCCTCTAGCTTCCGAACGATATGAAGTAGGTTGATAAAATTTTACTCAAATATGTATTATGTCTGCAGGATTTTTGGTATTGAAAATGGACCATGTCGGTCCACGTCTTCGTATAGCCTCCATATAACGGTACCTCCCAATATGTAGTATTTTGATGATTTTAGCGACATTTTTTACCGGAATTGTTTCAAAATTGATACTTAAAGTTCGCAATAAATACTACGGCTTAAGACAGAAACTGGGCCATGTAGGTCCACGTCTTCGTATAGCCCCCATATAGCAGTACCACCCGGTATTCGGTATTTGGATGATATCAGCGACATTATTAACCGGAATTGTTTCAAATTTCGCATTTGAAGTTCGTAATGGATACTACAACCTGAGACAGAAAATAGGCCATGTAGGTCCACGTCTTCGTATAGCCCCCATATAACGGTACCTCCCGATATTAGGTATTTTGATGATTTTAGATACATTATTTACCGGAATTGTTTCAAAATTGGTACTTAAAGTTCGTAATAAATACTACGGCTTAAGACAGAAAATGGGCCATGTAGGTCCACGTCTTCGTATAGCCCCCATATAACGATACCTCCCAATATTGTGTATTTTGATGATTGTAGATACATTATTTACCGGAATTGTTTCAAAATTGGTACTTAAAGTTCGTAATAAATACTACGGCTTAAGACAGAAAATGGGCTATGTAGGTCCACGTCTTCGTATAGCCCCCATATAACGGAACCTACCGGTATTCGGTATTTTGACGATTTTAGCGACACTATTCACCAGAACTATTTCAAATTTAGTATTTGAAGTTCGTAATAAATACTACGGCTTAAGACAGAAAATGGGCCACGTAGGTCCACGTCTTCGTATAGCCCCCATATAACGGTACCTCCCGGTATTCGGTATTTTCATTATTTTAGCGACATTTTTTACCGGAATTATTTCAAAATTAATACTTAAAGTTCGCAATAAATACTACATCCTAAGACTGGAAATGAGCCATATAGGTCCATGTCTTCGTATAGCTCCCTTATAACGGTACCTCCCGATATGCGGTATTTTGATGATTTTAGCGACATTATTTACCGGAATTTTTTCAAAATTGATACTTAAAGTTTGTAATAAATACTACGACTTAAGACAGAAAATGGGCCATGTAGGTCCACGTCTTCGTGTAGCCCCCATATAACGGTACCTCCGGGTATTCGGTATTTTAATGATTTTAGCGACATTGTTTACCTGAATTGTTTCAAATTTGGTATTTGAAGTTCTTAATAGATACTACAGCATAAAACAGAAAATGGGCAATGTAGGTTCACGTCTTCGTATAGGCCCCATATATCGGTACCTCCCGATATTCGGTATTTTTATGATTTTAGCGACATTATTCACCGGAATTGTTTAAAATTTGGTATTTGAAGATCGAAATGGATACTACAGCCTGAGACAGAAAATTGTCTGTGCAGGTCCACGTCTTCGTATAAGCCCCATATATCAGTACCTCTCTATATTCGGTATTTTGACAATTTTAGGTACAATACCCATCGATATTGTTTGAGATGTCGTATTTGAAGTTCGTAATGGATACTACATCCTAAGACAGAAAATTGTCTATGCAAGTCCAGGTTTTCGTACAGCTCCGATATAACGGTACCTCCCTATATACGACATTTTGATGATTTTAGCTACATTATTCAACGTTTATTTCAAGTTTCGAATTTGAATAATGGCTTGTGACAAACAATGCCTATGTAAGTCCACGTCGACCCCAATATAACAGTACTATTTCGGTACTATTTTAGTATTTATTAGTACTGTTCGTGTAGTTTTAGTACACACACGCAACCACCTTCCTATTTTAATTTCAGAAACCAACAGAGACAACATCAAATTTCAACTCTTTAATTTCCCCCCGTTAATAAATTTAGTATCATTTAGTACAATTAGAGTACGCATTTCCAAACATATCTCTATATTTTAATCACAGACACCAACAATGAGATTCATATCAAATTTCAGGATTTTAGTTCTATTCCAACACCCAATACCCAATTTAGTACACTTAGTACTTTTCGAACAATTATAGTACACATGACCAAAACCACCTTCATATCTTATGAACAGACACTAACAGAGACCTCCTTATTAAATTTCAGTATTTCAGCTCTGTAATTTTCACCCTTGACCAAATTTTGGTACCATTTAGTACAATAAGAGTACGCATTTCCAAACCCATCTCTATATCTTAACCACAGACACTAACAATGAGATCCATATCAAATTTCGGGATTTAAGTTCATTGCCTTCATCCAATACCAAATTTAGTAACATTTAGTACTTTTCGTATGATTTTAGTATACTTTTCCAAAACCATCTACATATCGCAGTTCCAATTACTAACAGGGACCTCAATATAAAATTTCAGGATTTCAACTCTAAAATTTCCATCCTTTACCAAATATAGTACCATTTAGTACAATTATAGTGCACATTTTCAAAACCACCTCCATATCTTTACCACCATCCCATCTATATCAATTTTCAGGATTTTCGTTATATTTCTGCACCCAATATCAACTATATATTACCATTTAGTACTTTTCGTACAAATATGGTACGCATTTTGAAAACCACCTTCATTTGTCAATTTCAAATACCAACAGATACCTCAATATCAAATTTCAGGATTTCAGCTCTTTAATTTCACCTTTAACCAATTTTAGTACCATTTAGTACAATTTTAGTACACATTTCCAAAACTGCCTTCATATCTTATCTGCAGATACTTCAATATCAAATTTGTAGATTCCAGCCCTATCCCTTTACCCAACACCAAATTTAGTGCCATTTAGTACATTTCGTACAAAAAAAATGCACTTGCAAAACCACCACCAGATCTCAACCCCAGATAGTATAAGTAAACTAAATATCAAATTTCAGAATTTTATTTCCATCCCTTCACCCAATATCAAATATAGTATCATTTAGTTATTTTCGTACAATTTAATCCAGGCTACACATGAACAGCGACCCTAACAACAAATTTCAGATTTCAAGCACAATCTGTTCACTCAAAACCAAATTGTACCAAATATGGTACTATTTAGTAATTTTTAGTGCACTTGTAGTGCGCATTTCCAAAATTACCTATCGACACAGCTGCTGGTACAATGAACTGTTAAACCAATTTTGAAATTGAAAATGTTGAATGAAAAATTATTTAAATGTGTATTATAATAATCTCCGAATGACGTCATATAGGAAAACGTATAAAAATCGACTTATATTTGAAAGAACATTGAAGTATAATATGCCTAGCCATAATGCCAAGCAGCTTATGTACCCTCACCTTTTAGTAAAATAACTCAAAATTTCTCTCTCGAAACTTTCTCCTTATAGAATTTTTATTTTAGCAGAACCAAATGCGAGAGGAGTACTTCCACCAGATATTTTTAACTTATCAATTAATATTATTTATTTTGAGTGAAATTTGGCAAAGTAAATTACAGAAATTACTTTATTAAAAAATGGTAAACATATGATTGCATGACTTTAACTTTTTAATTCTAGCATGCTTTCAACAAAACATAAATACTACCATGGTACAATAAAGAGGTAGAACAGCTTCATAGAACTACAGAAATACAGCCCTGAGGCTATGCCCGCTTCCTGTCAAATTTGCATGTAACAAGTTGTTTTCATTTATTCGATATTTTCCCTCATTTTTAAAATCAGTTAAACAGTTCCATGGCAAAACTGGTGAATAGCTTTAATATGTATCACGCAATTTACGCGTCTTCCAATAATTGATTTTGAAAATATTCTTTTATTTTTCAAAGCAATAAATACATACACAAATTGGCAGAAGTCGTGCACATTTAGAACCTTTTTATTGTACCATGAATACTACCAGTTGCCTTCTAATAATTTTACCATTTGTCAAATAAGACTGTCTTGCAGCAAATTTGTTTGTTTTTAATTTTTATCTTTTCATCTATTTTTTTAAACGTTCTAAAATCATTGAAAACGTCAAGTGACAGACTCATGGTACAAAAATACAGGTAGATGCATCAACGCTTGGGAGCATTGATATGTCAAAAATTTTTAAATTTCTTTTTAAATATTAGTAGATTTTTATATGTTTTCTTATATGACACAAATCGTGGGTTGTAATGATATGCATTTTTCAACAATTTTTACAAGTTTAAACAATTTTTCATTCAACATTTTCAATTCCAAAATTAGTTTGACAGTTCATTGTCCCAGCAGCTGAGTCGATGCGTCTACCTATATTCTTCTACCATGGACAGACTCATGCCTTCCCGTAAATACAGAGTTTACACTCACACGAATACAAGGCAACTGTCATATACTTGGCAAACAGACTATTAACAGCACTGAGTACTCGGTACTCATGACATTGTCCACACTAACAGCTGGTTGACAACAACTGACATAAAAACAAAAACAACAATTCAGTGAATTTGTGTGAAATAGACATTAGATTAGAATTTTGGCAAATATTTTTACTAATTTTACCATGAAAGCCAAAACAAACAGAAAAGATAAATTCAATTAATTAAAACAGATGGCACGCAGAATACTTTAAAGGGATTAACTGCAGAGAATTGATTCAAGAGAGCAGAGAAATCAACAAAACAAACGTGGACCATTGACGTTGTTACTGAACAGCGGCGGGGCTTTGAAAAAGACAAAAGAAATGAAAAAGTTTCACTAATTAACACAAAACGAACGACGATATTAGGGGCGGAGAGCAGCAACGTTGCTGGATGCGACAAACTATAATTTAAACGGCCAACACAGAGGTTTGTCCCCCCAAGAAGTTGTGTTGTGTGCCAGTAGTGGAGGTGGTCGTTTAGTACGTTGTTGTTCAACTAAATCTCTGGGGAGATCTTGGTGCTGTTAATTATTAAAATTATTTTCTTTCCAAAAAAAAAACTGAAAAAATGTGAAGGTTATTGGAAACCCCTTTGGTGACGACCTATGTAGATTGAGTTTTAATTTATTTAAAAGCTCTGCCAGCGTCAATAGGTCACATTGTTCCAGAACAGAAAGAACATCATCATCATCGCCACAACAGTCAAAGCGGCAGAACCGGAACAGCAAATAATGATTGCAGAACAGCAACAAAAACAACAGCAGTGAAGCGACCAATAACAAAAGTGGTAAAATAAAAGTTTAATACTAGAAAACAACAACAATAGCAACGTAAATTAGTACATAGTCGTCGTCACTGGTATCAGCAATACAAATCAGTAATAAAACAACAGACAACAGTTGTTGAACGGCGGAGTGATATGTGCCATTTGGAAGTGTGTGTTGGCTGGCTAATGGTTAAGGGCACACGCAAACACAATAACGACAGCCACAACTAATTCCAACACAAAAAACAATAATTATAGCGATGCTGAAATTCTCGAAATAGAAACTCGAATATAGATTAATAGTTTTACACCCCCATCCCTGCCGACAAAACAAAGTATACAACTTGCCAAAAGAAAATACAACAAGCGGACAAAATGCGTTCCCGTAAGATTTTAATGATTGCTGGATTTCTGGTCACCTGGACATTTGTCATATTCTATTTTATGCCCAAAACAAATGGTGAATTTCCATTGCTCAAGAATCGTCGACAACACACCGTTGAGAAATTGGAACAAAATGCCCGTGAAGAATATCACAAGACTGACAAGTTAATGATTAATCTCTTGGGTATCTTACAATCGAAATATTTAAATGAACCTCCAGAAGCAGAAGAACAAGAAGCAAAAGAATCTCACATAGCTAGTAATAGTAATAATAATAATAATCAGCAACAAACTATTTTAAGTTTACAAGAGCCACCAGCAAATGATAAGTTGTTGCCGGACGAACAACGTCAGCAGGAGGATTTGCAGCAGCTGCAACAGGAAGTTTTAGAAACACCAAATGAAACGGAGGCAACCCAACAACGGATGACAGAGGCAGCTACAACTGTGATAACACGTCTGGGCAACAATCAACCTGTTATACCGGTCTTGGTGTTTGCCTGTAACCGTGTTTCCATTTCCAAATGTTTGGATAATCTCATAAAATATCGCCCCAGTGCGGAACAGTTTCCCATAATCGTTTCACAGGACTGTGGGGATGAAGCAACGCGAAATGTCATTTTGTCCTATGACAAGGAGGTGAGTCTAGCAAGATATGTATTTTTTGAATTTAAATTCACAAATTTTCTTTTATTTTAGGTGAAACTCATTGAACAACCCGACCAATCGGATATCTTTGTACCACCCAAAGAAAAGAAATTCAAGGGTTATTACAAAATTGCTCGCCATTATGGCTGGGCTCTGAATCACACCTTCAGCAAGGGCTATGAATTTGTAATAATTGTAGAAGATGATTTGAATGTTGCCCCAGATTTCTATGAATACTTTTTGGGCACACATCAGCTGCTGAAGCAGGATAGTTCATTGTGGTGAGTTTGAAAAAAGTTTACAATTTTACAACAATTTCTTCTTCCGGGAATGTACTTTTTCTTGGAAGATGACCGAGGCATCCCATGACCACACTCCCAATTACTCTAATGTGTTTTGTAGATCCAATAAACATATCCACCTCCTTAATAAACATAGGTGTTCATCTCCAACTAAATTTCTGTAATTACCACAAACATATTAAACTATGAAAAATATTTAAAATAATTGTTCTTTAACTTTCTAAGACTGTTTGACTTTATTTTATAAATAACTTAATAATGTAATAATTGTTTTATTTTAGGTGCGTTTCCGCATGGAATGACAATGGAAAAGCGAACTTAATTGATACCTCGCATCCGGAATTGTTATATCGTACAGATTTCTTCCCCGGCCTGGGCTGGATGTTGACAAGAGAACTGTGGCAGGAATTGTCTGTGAAGTGGCCTAAATCGTAAGTTTGTCACTATTTTTATTGAATCAATAAATTTTATTGAAGTAATTCTCGTTTTGCTAACAGCTTCTGGGACGATTGGATAAGACATCCGGAGCAACGGAAGAATCGGGTTTGCATACGACCGGAAATTTCTAGGACACAGACATTTGGCAAAGTTGGTGTATCCAAGTAAGTTTGGGACATGACACAATTATTGAATTCGGAAACGTATTTAACGCGTGTCCCAAAAACTTTTTAGAAATTATTTTTTCCACGAAAATTGTGTCAATGAAACCTTTACATCAAAATTGTATGATGTATCTTAACGAAGCTTAGCTACTCAGAAACGACAGCTATTTTATACAGTTCATCCATAATGCGAGTAGAAATAGAAAACAGAAAGTAGAAAATTTTTAGATGAGGTATTTTCGAAAAGAATTTCCTACTCTGTCGCCATTTAGAAGACAAAGAGATCTGATACTTATATCTAATTCAATAAGTAAGGAAAATAAATAGGTTATTCTGCTATCACCCAGTTTCCAAGTTCCATATCATGCCAGCTACCTCGACGAAATATAATAACCTTTATGAGGATGTTCCTTTCATCAAACTATGTTTTCAGACCTAAAGGTTCAGACGATGTAAGTCATCGGCTGTCATTTTCTTAAGCCAGTAAAAAATCCTTCAATTTATCTGCATCTTAATAACGTATTGAAATTGATGAAAAACAATTCAGATGTACAATTTAACAATGATTTCCTGACATCAGTTTTGATTTAATTCAGCTCATATATAGATACAGCTTTCCGACTATTTGCATATACTTTTTGGTAAGATTATACGTATCGATCTCAACGCTATTTAGTTTAAAGCTTGTTTGAAATTGCTACAATTTTTTTACACCGCATCACATTTTTGGTTTCTATTTTTAGTTAATGGTTAAAGGTATTGGCCCTTATCTCGCACCATTTAAAAACATTTCGTTTACATGCGTTTCCAAACCAACTTTCAACAATATATTTTATCTATGTGTAGAACATGATGCTCATTGTTCGATATGTTTTGTTTTTTTTTATCAATTACATTTTAGCGGCTTGTTCTTTGATAAATATCTACGTTATATCAAATTAAGTGAGGAATTTGTACCATTTACCAAAATGAATTTGAGTTATCTCTTAAAGGTGAGTCCTCGTAACATCAATTAATAGATATTAAAACTTAAATAATTATGCGATTTTTTACAGGATAATTATGATAGAACATTTTTAAAAGAAGTCTACACGTATCCTGTAGTTACCTATGATGAATTGAGACGAAATCTCATAACCCGAGATGGACCAGTACGTATACAATATAATTCCAGAGATGTATACAAGCGAACAACAAAAATGTTAGGTTTAATGGATGATTTTAAGGTGAGTATGTTTTAAAAATGCCAAATGGTCTTTTATCCATAGAAGATCTTGTGAAATGTCTGCTGAAAGTGTTTCTGCATATTTTTGTCTGTAGAAAAACCATTAAATGTCTTCTATTTCTGCGATACCTTTTAGAAGTCTTTTGTTTGCAGTAGACTTCTTTAAGACCTGTTTATAGATGACCTTTTCAGGACCTTCTGTTTTAAGAAACCCTTCTGGCAGTTTTTTTTTTTTGTTCATGGAAGCCCTTTCAGGATGACTTTTGTTAATAGGAGACAATTTAGATAGCATCTGTTTCAAAAGATCTTTATATATGAATCAATTAGATGGAAGACCCTTTAAAGGTCTTTTAATTTTCTGATTTTTAAAAGTTTAATTTTTAATCTCCTCTTGTAGAAGACCAATTAAATTTCTATTAATAATAGAATATATTTCAAGCTCTTGTTTGTAAACGTATTTGATGTAAACAAGAGCTTAAAATGTATGTCTACAGAAGATCGTCTACAGGGTGAGATGAAAACACTGCAACAAAGTCCAATGCCATAATTTTTACAATCTTTTTAAATTTTATTGAATGAAAGCAAAAAATGTCGGAAATAGCATCAAATTTTAGAATAAGTTTAGATTTGTTCGAATTGGTCACCTTTTGCACGAATTATGGGCTTCAAATGGCAAATGAAACCGTCACACGCTGCCCGAATGTTGCTCTGCGGTATTTTGGCCCATTCCCGGCGAAGTACTTGCTTGAGGTGATCGACACTTTACCAACCTTGCTTCTCAAAACACTCCAAACACAATAGTCCAACGGATTGGTATCCGCGATAATATATAATAATAATTAATAATTTTCGCGATAATATTCGTCATTTATTCTGATGCCACGGTCGATTAATACGAGCGGAGAGCGACCATCGGCTGTTATGGCCGGCGCTTGAGTTCTGGGGTCCAACCTAAAGTGCACATTTTCAGCTGAACTCTTTGGCAAGATCACAATCATTTTGTTTGTTTACAAACAGCTAGACAATGAATGTTTTCTCATCGGAGAAAACCAAATTCGGCAGTTCACCACTTTCGGCTAAGCGAAGCTACTCTTTAGCTCTTTTGAGTCTATTTTCTTTCAGTTGCGGTGTAAGTTTTTGCACTTTTTGGAATTTTAATGGCTTTACCTCGAGCTCACTTTTCAATGTTTGCCGAATGGAATATGGCTATATGTTCAGCTGACGAGCCATTTTTCGGCCACTGCGACGCGGGTTTCGATCAAGTCGTTTCTTTACTTTTCGAACCACTTCTGCGTCGGGCTACGCTACCAGTATCACGGTAACGAGCGATGGTACGAGACACAAAAGATTTATTCAACGCTCTAACGATAGCCACTTGTGGTTTTCCAGCCAAATGTAAAGAAATCACACTATGACACTTGAATTCCATCACGAATAACTTTTTTTCTGGAAAATTCTCACCAAAATGCTTTTGTACGCCTGTAAACAATATAATGAGCTTACACTGGAATAATTTTAACAGCTGTAGGACAAGTGGCTTAGAAATGACAGCAGTCTGAAGTTTGGTGCAGTTTTCTGGCCTTATAATGTCGTTTAGCGTATCCTGTAACAAGGAATATTGTCTTTAGAAAATCTTTTACTACTTTAGAAGAACTGCGGAAAGGTCTTCTCGCTTTACATTATTTTTTGTTTCAATAGCTATTTTCTGTCCTTCAAAGGCCTTCTGCGAAGTAATGTTTTTAGAATAGCTTTTTCCGCGCCTTCTGTGTTTATAGGACAAACCTTTTGAACGATATTTTTCCGTTAGACGATGTAGTGTCTCCAATTGAAAAGCGTTTTAAAGGTATCAGTTTTAAGAATATTTTTTTTTTAAAGATTTTCAGTATCCGGCATGCACTCTGTCTAGAGAAGACGCTGATTATGTACATTTCGTATTAAATTTACATGTTTTTTTTTTTTCTTTCCAGAGTGGAGTACCACGAACGGCCTATCATGGTATTGTTTCATTTGTACACAATAAACGGCGTGTCTACCTGGCACCGAATGTCAATTGGAAGGGATACGATTTATCCTGGAGCTAACAGAATTTTATTATTTTAAGTTTATCATAGTCTTAGTCCTTAAGAAAAATAAATGAAACAATGATGATTCCTTTTTTAGGTTTAATGTAAAGAGAAAAATAAAAACCAACCAACAACAGCAACTGATAAATCTATATGAAAATAACACCAATTAAAAATAAAAAAAAATAATTAATCAATCAACAATAATATTAAAACAACCAATCAACCAAATATACCTACTTAAGGCATTTGTTTTATTGTTTATATTTTAAAAATAGCGACACTGTAAAATTTCCACATTATAGTTTTAAAAATGTATTTATTATGTATTTTTTATTGTTTATAGTTATTGTTTTTATGAATCTTAAGTTTTTTTTCTTCTTTTCTCCAATATTTTTTTTATTATTTTTTCTCAATTTTTCATTTGTTATTATAACATTTATAATATATCAAGATAACCGACCACCACCTCTTGTCAAAAAAAAGTGTAAACTCCTCTGACTACTACTTTATACAGTTTATAAAAAATATTAATATTTAATTAAAGAATCTCAATGTTGTAGCTGTAAAACTGTTAAGAAATTATATAAATATAAAGAATAAATATATATATATAGAGAGAAAACTAAATAAAAAAGAGAATAAAACAAAATTGTACTTCTAATGAAAAACAAGAAAATGGAGATGCAATTTCTTAAAAAATACAATGAAATCGGTAAAGTAGGAAAGTAGGGACTCAATGGTCGAAAGATTATAATGTTGCTTGTAGAACGACCCTCAAGCCCAATGGATTTTTAGATTTTAACGATTGTGTTCAGTGGGAATTTTGGTGTAACCAAATTTTTATTTAGAATTCTACTTGACCCATGGTGTGAAAATAGTTGTTGTTGTTGTAGCAGCTCATACATATGTGTTCGTTTGGTTTCCATTTTCTAACTCAATTCAATCCGGTTCTGCCTCTAAGTCCAGTCTCAAAAAGGATGCAACCTGTATGGGTTGAGTCCATAACGAGACTGGAGTTAGGTGAGTAGGCTTGGCTGGGCAGCGAAATAAATGCAGCGTGTCATGTGGGCCTGTGCCACATGCTGGGCAGATGTTCTGCACTTCGCCGTTGATCCGGGCCCAGTAGGAATTTAGGCGGCTGCACCATCCGGATCGTAATTGAGCCAAGACTACTCGGGTTTGTCGGGGCAGCTCTCGTTCTTCAGCTGCGACGGGAGGGGGATGGTCTCCTAGCACAGTATTCACTCTATATCCTTCAATGGCTTCTGAGACCGCATTAGAGTGAATACTATTCAGTCCCGCTTGATAGGCCTGTTGATCTAGAGGCTCTCTCTTATACCTCTGTACCTCTCTCTCTAGATCATGAAGGTCTTTCCTAACGTGCCTGGGCGGAGGTTGCCTATCCACAAGATGGTGATTTGGATGGCTTTGTCTATAACACCCAAGCAGGTATTGCATTGACAGCATTTTGTTATGCTGTCGCACCGGTAAGACCTTCGCCTCCTCATGTAGGTGATCGACGGGTGTCATGAGAAGGCACCCTGTTGCGGTTCTAAGGGCGGCATTCTGGCAGGACTGAACATTTTTCCACTGCGTAGCACTGACGTTAGCGGACCACACTGGAGCCGCATAGTTTACCACAGACCGGCCTATCGCGTTGTAAGAGGTCAACAAGGTCTCCTTATCAGCTCCCCAAGTACTGCCGGCCAGAGACTTGAGGACCTTGTTCCTACTTCTAATCTTGTCGCAGATAGCTGTGGTATGCGCGGACGACTTAAAGAGGCTATCGAATGTGACCCCTAATACCTTGGGGTAGTTGGTGGTCGGAATAAGAGCACCATCGACCTGCACATTCAAGGATAGCCCCATCTCCGCAGTCCATGTGGTGAAAAGTGTGGCCGTCGACTTAGTGGCGGATATCTTCATATTCCTCGCAGTGAAAAAGGCGGTAAGATCAACAAGGTAAGCGTTCAACCGATCGCAAATGTCATCAATAATGGGTCCGGACGCCACGAGCGTACAATCATCTGCGTACGTAATAATCTCTATGCCGTCTGGAGGGCGTGGAATTTCAGAAAGGTAGAGGTTAAACAGTTCCGGAGATATCACCCCACCTTGGGGAACTCCCTGTTTAACTCTACGGATGCTCGACTTCTTGTTTCTGAATTCCACGTACGACTGGCGTCCACACATGTAGTTTACTATCCAACGTTTCAAACTTGGCCGGAGGGTGGTGCGTTCAATGTCCTCGAACAGTGTGGCATGATTGACTGTATCAAAGGCTTTTGATAAATCAAGTGCCACCATAACTGTTCTATCGCACGGCCTGTTCTGGTTGAGACCTCTACTGACATGTGTGGAAATGGCGTGTAAAGCTGTTGTTGTGCTATGCAATTTTCGGAATCCGTGTTGATGATCGGCTACTGGGAAACACTCTCTTATGCTGGGGAGGAGTAAAGCCTCAAGCGTCTTTGCTACTGGTGACAAAAGTGATATCGGCCTGTATGAATCACTTTTGCTGGCATCCTTGCCTGGCTTCAGTAGCGGGACCACCCTGCCCATTTTCCAGGCATCGGGAACTACTAGGGTGGCTAACGACAGATTGAGAAGCTTTGTCAGATACTCAACTCCTGGTTCATCCAGTTGCTTCAACATCACCATTGAGATTCCGTCAGGACCAAGCGCTTTGGATGACTTTGCGCTTCTGATGACCTGTGCAACATCTGCCAACGTAAATTGTGGTGGTACCTCCTCGGCTGGAAGGGATCGTACACGGCGTAGTATCCTTCTCTTCGCCCTGTCACTCTCGGGGTGCTCTACAAATTGCCGGTTAAAATAACACGCGCACCTCTTCGGATCTGTCACTTCTGCGCCGTTAAATGAGACAGATGTCCGATCGTCCTTTTTTCCAGGGTTCGAAAGCGACTTAACCGTTGCCCACAATTTACTCGTTCCGGTACCGATGTTGCAATGCTTCAGATGTTCTAGCCACTTTTTCCGCTTATGCTCACCTACTAACCTGTTTACCTCCAGAGTAAGTTCCCTGACTCTGGGGTTATTAGGGTTAGTACGGCGAAGCTCATCTCGCTCGTTTGCTAATCCCGCTGCCTCTGCTGGGAAGTTTGGTCTTATTTCAGGTATTCGACCAGCAGGTATATAGCGAGCGGCTGCAGCTTTGATGATGTCCCGGAAACACCTATCTGCTACCTGAACATCAGATGGGTTGGGCAGTTCTCTGAAGCGGCGATTGGTATACTCTCTGAATTCTTGCCAATTAGCTTTCCCGTGGTTAAGGAAAGTGCGGCGTTCAGAGTCGATGAAGTCGGGTGGTCTATTAATGGCGATAATAATGGGGAGGTGGTCTGAGCCTAGAGAAATGACTGATTGCCAAGTTACGTCATTCGTCAGACCTGGGGACACGATGGATATGTCCGGAGAACTGTGGCAGTCTCCCCTTATTCTAGTGGGCGCGTCCTCATTCACTGTGCAAAACGTGGAGCTATCGATTTGCTCAGCCAGCGCCATGCCTCTCTGGTCATTACCTAGGACGGAATGCCATAATTCATGATGGGCATTGAAATCCCCTAGCACCAGACGGTTATTGCCTACCAGTAGTGAACTGATATTAGGCATATAACGTGGGGCACAGCTATTTAACGGCGGAATGTACACGTTGAGCACCTCTACCTCGGCGGTTCCACACTTGACCGCTACCCCCATACATTCCATGTACGGGTCACTAGAGTCAAGCTCAGGCGAGATAGGTCTGTACTGGACAGAGTGGTGCAATAGGAACGCTAATCCTCCACCTCCACCTCTGGAGCGATCCTTCCTTAGTACGTTGTATCCATCACAACTTTGAAGCCTGCAGGTGGTACTCAGCTTCGTCTCCTGGATCGCTGCGACCTTGATGTTCTTCCGACTCATAAAGCTTACAATTTCATTGATCTTACCTCTGAGACCATCACAATTAAATTGGAGAAATGATGCATTGTCCGGAACTTGAACAGCAATGTGTGGCGTCAGCTGCTGCGTAGATTGCTGTTGAGGAGATTGCGGGGGAGTCTCATATTGCGACGACGATGAGGACGCCGAAGATGAAGACTCACTGGGGTCTACATTGATGCAGCAGGAAGCAATGTAGTCCCTATCGCTATACTCCTGTATCCGGTTTAGGCCGGAACAATTCCGGAAATGCACCCACTCCATGCATCCGTTGCATCTCACCGAAACCGATCTGTGGTGGATGCGATTACGACAAACGGAGCAGAACCATGGTCCGGGGTTGGTCTCGATCCCGGCTCGGACCAAGAGAATACGGAGCAAACATTCCGGGTAATGTTGCTCCCACATCAGAAAAATGGACGAACACGAACATGTATTTGCTGGGTTGGCGGCCCCTGGTCGGAGAAATGTGCCTCCGAGTCAATCCGGTACATAGAACCGGCCGCCGTGGGATAGGTGTGAAAATAGTAGTAGATTTGTGTGATGAGCATTTCTCTCCTGCATGTCCTACATAATTTCTTTAGTCCATGGAAGCTCTCTTGCTATTAAAAAGACTTCTGCTATTAATAAACCTTCAAGATCTTTAATATCCCGTACTTATTTCATCTTCTGAAGATCTGTTTTATTTTAAAGGCCTTCTATGGATTGATAAACCTTGACAAATACATATTCCAAGGAATATCTGTACACAGAACAACATTGAAAAGGTGTTCTATGGTGTTTCTAAAGAAGCATTATAAAACATCTAGTTCGGTCTTCCATATACAACCGATTTTGAAGGTGAATAATTTCGTGTATTTATGGAAAATTGTACTAACAAAGAAGGTTGCAAATGCCCATTCTCCATTAGGCATTCCCTAATAGGAGTCATCTGTGTTTTTGGTCAAATTCCATCAAGTGTCGGGAATTATGTTAAAGGCCTAGTAAAACGTGGGATTTCTTTGAATATCGCATAAGGGGTTCAAGGTTGCCTGACAAAACGCTTCCGATTGCAATTTGATTTACCAACCACGTTTCGAGCGTAATTGAGTATCTGTGAACCAAACCTATTCTTTTTCATTAAAAATTACAGATCATTACCGATCGTCTCAAAAGAAAATTACCAAATTAAATTGGCGAATAATAATTTGATTCATTTCCCTAAAAGCAACAGAATTTTGTCCCAAAGATGTAACGGTTAATTTCTCAGAGCGTTTAGACACCGTAGCATACTTACCCTTTTAGAGCATACTTTTAGGCGCTCACACTATTTAAAAAAGAAATGCTTTGTTGTGACGTATTAATAGTTGTGTTCCAGAACCTGCAATTTTTAGACCAGTTAACAACAGAATTAATGACATTTGTTACATCCAATCAACCGACAATTTGTAGAGCAAACCGAGGACGAAAATGGGCCGAGTGGTCCCGCACCTCCCCAATATCAGAGGAAGCTATCCAGTTTCTAACCATCAACACGCATGCCGTCTACAAATGCACGCCATATCCACATATATCAGTCGAGGATTAAACCAGAACAAGCCTTGTCATAGAGTTGTGTTCGTAGCCCTTGACCTATCAAAGGCATTTGATACAGTTAACCACGCCAAACTGTTCGAAGATGTAGAGAAAACTAACAAAATATTGAAAAATGAGGTCGGGGTAAAGCCATTGAAATTCCAAATAATGCAAGAACTTACAACGCAACCGAAAGAAAATAGACTCAAAAGAGCTAAAGAGTTGCTTCGCTTGGCCGAAAATGGTGAACTGCCGAATTTGGTGGTCTCCGATGAGAAAACATTCGTTGTCCAGCAGTTGGTAAACAAGCAAAATGATATTGTTTTCTTTGCCAAAGGGGTCAGCTGAAAATGTGCACCTTCGGTTGGACACCAGAACTCAAGCGCCGGCCACACCATGATGGTGTGGGCCGCCATAAAAGCCGATGGTCGCTCTCCGCTCGTATTTATCGACCGTGGCATCAGAATAACTGCCGAATATTATCGCGAAAATATTCTGGAGGATGTATTAAAGCCTTGGACACGCAAACATTTTGGTCGTAGACCATGCACATTCCATCAGGACTCAGCACAATCGCACTCAGCACGCGCAAAATCTCCGGAAAACAATCCGGGAATGGGCCAAAATACCGCGGAGCAACATTCAGGCAGCTTTTATTCAATAAAATTTAAAAAAATGTAAAAATTATTGCTTTTGACTTTGTCGCATTTTTTTATCTCACCCTGTATTTATATTGCACATATACAATGAATATATTAATGTTTACTACACTATAGAGAGATTTAAGTTATTTTAAGCGCCTTAAAGTATGTTATACAAATGGTTGACAGAAATGCAGTAAAATAGCTTTACATAGGATTGTAATGTTATGTGTATATTAACCTTAACTGATGAGCGCCTATTTAAATCAGCCATATAATATTCTATTTCAAAAAATTGTTGCTTTCAAAGAATTGTTGAGAAAAAAACCACCTAATCTCATGTTTTGCACCAAGAGTACCTAATGTTTAGTTTCTAACCCACACTTGCTGCAGTTTATTAACCCTTAACAAAAAATGAGATGAAAAATAAATCGCCAATTTAACTCATTACTAAATAATTTAAAAACATTTGATGCAACCACTCATCTTTTCCAAATAAGCTTCTTGTTATATTTCAAGAAAGTTTGTAAGAGTTGCTGTCCACCTCTGTTAGAATCATTCGTTTTTATTAGGAGTAGTCCTACAACTGCCAAGTATTCTATACTAGCTGACCCTGTCCGCGTTGCCGGCCAGTAGTTTTAGTGTATTATGCATATTTGTCAAAGCATAATTATTCAAAGATATGACTGTTATAAGTGTTTATGTACTGGTCGATTAATTTTTAGTTTTTAGTCAAATGAGCAGTAATTTGGAATAATAATTGAGGGCTGAATGATTTAAGAATAGCCAAAGTTAATTACTTTTTTAAACCCATTAACACCTCAGATTGTGCATTAGAGTTCTCATAAGTCCGCCAAAAGGTGGACTTGTGGGGGTACTATTACATGGAGAAAATTCTAAAATTTGTAGATATGTTGAAATTTTTTAGCCAAATCCTTTGAAATAAGGTAAAATCAGGAAGTACCTTCATATGGGCACTACTGCGAAACATCGACCTACATTGAAAACTTTCTTCACCCCTTATAATCCAAGATGACAAATAGAGGCCAAATCGAAAATATAGCAGAACAACATAGCATGTCAAACTGAAAAAAATTCACGTGATTTAAATAAGTAAAAATAATTTTATCCATCTCATAATTGAGGGCAGACTGATTTCAGGATAATCAAATATAATTACTATTTTACTCCAATTACCGTAAGATGGGAACTAATTTTATTTGTCATTTAAATTGTAAATTGGAGACGCCATAAAGTCCATATTTTTCATCATAGTATAATTCAATGACGATTCAACAAATATTCGGTCCCGTGCTACTTTCTTATATTTATAATTTGTTCTTGTTTTTCACAATTTATTTGATTTGGGATCTACATCTATATCTACGTTCCCAACCAATATTCTCTTGGGGGTTACAAATTCAATAGAATACAAAATTTTCTTTTCTGACCACACATTAGATGTGAAAGTGGACTTGGGTTACTCCAATGTGGGGACTTTACATGAATAAATTTCTATGTGGCAATTATCTGTACGATGGTTCCTTACGCCAGGGTAGCATAAATACAATTTTTTAGTGGTCAAGACCAATATGGGCCCTACTCCGAGAATTTTCTACTCCCTTAGAAACAAAGATGCCAAATAAGGGCCAAAAATAGAAGAAAATGACGAAGACTCCAAAAATAGCTTAAATCATTCAATGGTTATTTATGATCGATATCATATCGTAAATGTTCGGGAAGAATTTTTGGAAGGATAGAAATCCTTTTCTTACTAAAAGTCCCATTCGCTCTACTATTTTGCACCCTTTATATTTGGTACTTTACTGATTGTAGTCCCAAAAATTTTTGCATTTTGAGCTCTCATTGGACGGATTATTGTCACATGAAAGAAGTAGGTCCACGCTTTGAAATGAGACCCATTAGTCTTTTTCGGTCATTTTTGTTTGTTTAAATGTCTGCGCATCTTCCAGCTGAAGCACGATGTAGCCCCTGGAGTTGAAAGGTAGATGTTAGTTACAATCGTATTTCGCACTTATTTCATTTTTTGGTGAAAAATTGTATATAGTGAAAAATTATTCTTTATTTCGTTCACAAAAAATCCACTGAATTCAAAATTTTTCATACACAGTTATAATTTATTTATTTAATATATAATGTTGTAACATATAAAATTGAAAATTTTGTAAACGTTGAATACTGTAACGGTTATTGGCTCCCTTGGGTTTTATATTACAAAATGAACAGCAATAACCAAAAAATATCTATCAGAAAAATATTTTTATTCGCATATCTTTATGCGATTTTTTCAGTTTTTATCATTTCCGGCAAGGGCTCTGGTGGTAGATTCAATTCTGGTAATTTAATTTGTGAGCTTGAACAACACAATTCACATACTCCATCCTCCAACTTCAACGCCTTGCAATGAGGGCAACCAGTAGTCGTTGATTCATTTGAAACCTTGCCATGGGAAATGTAATCAAAGTTCACATCCAACGTACGTCGCACATACGGACGTGGAGTGGCATTTCGCAGAGCCCTAAGACGTGCCATGGCATTTCGAACAGCCAAAGTTTTCTTTGCGCGCTGTTCGTCGCTTTGAGCGGCTCTATGGGCTGCAGCATTTCTAGCATTACGTGATTTACGACCCAAATTACTGCGCTTACGCACCATTTTGTATCAAAAGATAATATGTGGGGATACTCCAATTAAATATGAAACAATTGAAATCTTATTTATATTATTTCTTTGTATAATCCAGAGATTGAGACATAGATATTATTTGTTTATTCGTCCTTCTTGCAAATATTAATAGATCAGCTGATAAGGAAATGTCAGTCATAGAATGCACTCAAAAGCTAGAGACTTTGAAGCTGTGAGCTAATGTTTGAAATATCCGTTAAGTTGACATATACAAAAGCTCATTGTTGTGAATAGTGAATTTAAAAGTTTAATGCTAGGAACACAATTGGAGCGAACGACGAATTTTTTCGCGGCGTATCTTCGTCGTCAAAAATAAAACACATATGTGTATATGGAAGTGCACACAATCACGGCACCGGCGAAAATTTCGTCGGTCGCCGCGAACTCAATTAGCTTTATTTCTATTTCATACGCCGGCGACCGGCGAACAAATCAGTACAAGGTGGCCATACTTGTACGAATTTTATGTGTTTTAGTAAATAAAGTTACTTTTTACTTTAAAATTTGTTATGGTCACTCTACTATCTGTTACTCGTATAAAAAAAAACATAATTAATTTGTTTATTTATTTGTGTACTTGCGCCTGAGTGAAGATGGATATCAGTGAATATAATAGAGAAGATGGACATAAGTGAAATTATAATAGAGAACGTAAAGAATTATGTGTTCTTGTATAATTCATTGTAGTCAACAAATGAGCAAAAAGTAAACAACTTCATCAGCTGTTTTATAATTTCGTCGGTATTGTGTTCCATACGACGAATTTTCGCGGCTCATTTTGTCGCCGCGTAGGGCGAAATTCGTCGTTCGCTCCAATTGTGTTCCTAGCATAAGACGTTAGCATGGTAGAAGAATGCAGGTAGTCAAATGGACACAGCTGCTGGGACAATGAACTGTCAAACCAATTTTGAAAATGGAAATTTTAAATGAAAAATTGTTAAAATTTGTAAAATTGTTGAAAAATGGATATCATAACAACCTTCGGTGGATGTCGTATAAGAAAATCTAAGCGTTGATGCATCACCTGTATTCTTCTACCATGGTTGTTAGTGTAGTGTTCATTTGCAGCTTATTTCACGCACCTCCAAAGAGGTAATGAACAACAGATTTGTATATTAATTAGAAGAATGGTTGGAACAAAATGGAATTTTGTTTTGATTTTTCTAAATATTAACTGAACAAATGGATCAAAAATTTGTTTTTTTTATTTTCTTATAAAACACATAACACAAAGTTGATAATTTCATTTACAAAATCTACACTTTCTTAAATTTATTTTCCTTATTTAATTAAGTTAATTAAAAATAAAAGTTGATTAACAAAATCCCCCACTTTCCTCACTCATCATCGATTTGCTCACAATCAATTTCACTGCATTCCGAGTCGCTGTCATTGCCCGATGCAGATTTTCCGTTGGCACGTTGTGTCAGGGCCAGCCCGTTGTAACCAAAATCTGATGAAGGTTTTCCATTTTTATCACCACTCACTTTGTGCTCCAAGAAATTTGCATTGGTATCCCTGAATACCCGTTCCAATTCGGCCAAACCATTGGAGGTTGGAGTCGACGTCTCTGCCTCTGGTTCATTGATCGTATTCAAAACATTATATTTCATTTGCAGGTATGCTTCATTGGAGGTAGGTGAACTCTGATAAAGACCCGAACTAGTTGCCGCAGTATAATCTAAGTAACGTGATGTGGGACTCAGTGAATTGGAATTTGCTGACCGCTGTGCCAGATAGGGGTTAAGAGTATAATTTAAGGGTTGCCCCCTGGCCAATATTGCATTGCGGGCACTTTCAATGACATTAGGTGTGGGTACGGGTGGTATGAGATTTGAGGTGGGATAGGCACGAAGTTGCCCTGCTGCCAAGGGCGGTGCAACATTGGCTGCAGGTCCTCCATTTAACATTATCGATTGTAGTGGTGCCGGACCAGCCGGTGTTTGACTAAAAAGCCAAAGACGATCCCCCACCACCATTGGTCGAGCCAAACCGCCAATACCCAATTGGGCATAATAATGGGAGGCCAAGGTCTCAACATCTGCAGTGTATTTGCGCTTCCATTTGGTACGGCGATTTTGAAACCAAATTTTGATCTAGAAATGGGGAAATAAAAGAAAAATATTATGTTAATTTGAATGGTTATACATAATTAAATCTTCTTAAAGGTGAGAGTACATAAATCGCTTGTTTGGCTGACTTAAAGGTGTAAGTACATAATAAACTTGAAGTCATGGATAGACATATTTTGTGACATTTCATAAAGGAATTACAGAGCCGCACTAAAATCATGCCGTCGTTTTCCATTATAATTTGACGTTAATATGCCTAGTCATGACTTCAAGCTTTTATGTACTTGCACCTTAATTAATCGGCTGGATTCTTCGTAAATAACAAAGGAGCTTTAGGTTGGCTTAGTTCAATTTCGGCCCATTGTTTATATTTGTTAACCCTACACTCCGTTGTTCTTTTATGAAGATGCCAGCCGATGACTTAAGTCAGTCAAATAAGCGCTTTATGTATTCCCACCTAAAGCGTTTTGTGTATTCTGATGGTTAGTCCCAACGCACCGAAAAAAGTGAATTTTGTGGGGCAATACTCTCCCGCAAACATTCTTCGTTTCAAAACTAAATCAATGTCAAATCCATAATTACCTGTGTCTCAGTCAAATGCAACTGCTTTGCCAAGGCCGTCCTCTTGGCAACTGACAAATATTTTCCCCTCTCGAATTCGGTTTCCAATGCCTTGATTTGTGATGCCGAAAATGCTGTACGTGGCCGTTTCTTACGATCATCATTTGAACCTTCAAAAAAAAAAAGGGAATAAAAAAGTGAAAATCATTGAATTCATCAATTTGCTGTCTATACTTGAAAGATTGCATCTGTCAACAGATTGACAATTTGTAAATGCGAGCGAAGAACTTGCTGCGATTCTAATTTTGAATAGAAAAATGTTAATGATCGATTGTCGTTGTCATGAAAAATGCCAAGAAAGTGATGATGATTGGGTAACACGGAAAACGCAATACATATGGGATACTAAAATTAAAAAATATGGAAAATGCTAACAATACCTCTCGATTTCCGACGAAAAAATTATATTCTTCTATTTTGGACGAAATATGAGTACCGTTTTCTGAATGTGCAGATAAACAATTAGTTATAAAGCTAATATTTTTAAAATGTGAGTTAACCTTGTATATGCATATAACTCTTATGCCATGTTTACGTTAGAACTTTTTGTAGGGTTAACCTTCTTTGAGAGGATTTATTTGAAGTAAAAGTAATGGATATGACAATTTAAATCCAAATATATTTTTTGACGATACGTTATGGAATTAATATTTGAGATCGCATGGTAGAAGAATACAGGTAGATGCATCAACGCTTGGGAACATTGATATGTCACAAATTTTAAAATGTTTTATCAAAAATTAGAAGAATTTTATAAGTTTTCTTATACACCAATTGGACTTACCAACTATGCATTTTTTTCAAAACTTTTTACAATTTCAAAAATATGAAACATTTTTTCAAAATTTTTAATTTTAAAATTGGTTTGACAGTTCATTGTCCCAGCAGCTGCGTTGACTACCTGTATTCTTCTACCATAGATAAATCTATACGCACTTTTACGATGCGACTTTGGAGTATACCCAGCGATGCTTTCAGTTAGTATGTAGATTCAACCATTTTTTGTATGGCAACTCTTGTTGAATAAATCCGGTTTAAGTTATATATACTAATAATGTAGGTTAGTCCGTATACAATTTTGTGTCTAATAGCGATATAAAACAATATTTTCCACCTATCTTGAATTAATTCTTTTGGAAATATTCCAGTATTTCATTCGTACTTAGTTTTTCCCAATTTAATTTGTAAAGAAAATATTTAAAACGAATGGCTTAATAATGTAGAAGCATATTTTACGCAATTAGACACTACCACAGAGTTGCATTTTTCCTATTACCTTTCTGGTTGTGTCATGAATAATATTACCTTTGGATAATATTATCTCTAAAAACAACTCGGAATTGAACTCGCCAGACGATAGACCAAAAGCGCAGCATTCTGAGGGTTCAATGACAGTTTGTAGAAGTTTAATGGTTTACGACAACCAAACCGGTCGTCATTGGAGTTTGAGAAAAAAAAAAATGGTACCGGGTAGATCGCAAAAAAAATATCCAGAAGACACGATTTGTAATTGAAGTAAAAGGTGACTTCATCGGAAAAGTACAAAGGAACGTAAGACCAAAATCAAATTAAGTCAACCTAAAATTCCTCTATTTTTTTCATATTTGTGATATTTATTCTACACTTTTATTTATGTTTTCTACATTTTCTCTGAAAATGTTGACATATTAAATATATTTTTAAATTTAACTAAAGAGAAAATTATTTAAATTATTCTCTTTGATACATAGGTTCGAGAATTTATAAAGTAGATATTTAATAAATAAAGGGATGTATTCGGGATGTAATATTTATAATATATGCCCACAGTTAGATTCCGGTATTTTGGAGGTTCCAGAAACATTTCGAGCTTCCGTGGACTAAAAGTAGGAATTTCGAAAAACTTTCAATATTTTTTTACATTTCAAAAAAGGTATGAACGGACCAAGCGGAATTTCGCCTAAGCCAAATTTCCCAACCGAAGAAGTTTTGATTTAAATTTAAATTTATAAACTCGACTTTCTCCAAATCAGATTTTTTGGGTTTTCAGTGAAATCACTTTTAAGTAGGCGACATTCCAGTTATCTACTTCCATATTTCCAATATTTAAAATTTGTAATGTTGTTTAAAACTTAAAATTTTCTGTTTGTATATTTTATACTTTATCCTCATTTATCAATTTTTTATCCGACATTCGATATTTAAGTCATTTTTCTTTCGAACGTTTACATTTTTTTTAAATTTTATTGAATGAAGGCAAAAAATGTCGGAAACAGCATCAAATTTTAGAATAAGTTTAGATTTGTTCGAAATGGTCATCTTTGGCACGAATTATGACCTTCAAACGGCCAATGAAACCGTCACACGCTGCCCGAATGTTGCTCTGCGGTATTTTGGCCCGTTCCCGGCGATGCGCTTGCTTGAGGTGATCGACACTTTGGTATTTTGTAGTGCCAACCTTGCTTCCAAAATACTCCAGACACAATAGTCCAACGGATTGGTATCTGAAGATTTTAGGAGGAACCTCCTTTTTTAACCATTCTTGGGTGGCGCGTGCTGAGTGCGATGGTGCTGAGTCCTGTTGGAATGCCCAAGGTCTGCGGCCCATGGCCGGCGCTTGAGTTCTGGTGGCCAACCGAAGGTGCACATTTTCAGCTGACCTCTTGTGCAAGTAAACATGACCATTTTGCTTGTTTACAAACAACTGGATAACGAATGTTTCCTAATCGGAGAAAACCAAATTCGGCAGTTCACTACTTTCGGCCAAACGAAGGAACTCTTTAGCTCTTTTGAGTCTATTTTCTTTCTGTTGCGGTGTAAGTTCTTGCACTTTTTGGAATTTCAATGGCTTTACTTCGAGCTCATTTTTCAATATTTGCCGAATGAAATATTGCGATATGTTCAGCTCACGAGCCATTTTTCGGCCACTGCGACGCGGATTTCGATCAAATCGCTTCTCTACTTCTCGAACCATTTCTGCTGATGGTGCTGTTTTTTCCGTCCACTTCCTTGACGTCGGGCTTCGCTGCCAGCATCACGGTAACGAGTGATGGAACGAGACACAAAAGATTTATTCACATTTAAATGCCAGCCAAATATAAAGAAATCACACTATCACGCTTGAATTCTATCATGAATAACTTTTTTTCTGGAAAATTCTCACCAAAATGCTTTTGTACGCTTGTAAACAATATAACTGGCATAATTTTAACAGCTGTCGGACGAGTGGCTTGGAAATGACAGAAGTCTGAAGTTGGTTCCAGTTTTTTTCAAGGTGAGTTGATATAACACTGAGGTGAAAATACATAACCGGCATTAGTTATCGGGTGGCTTTTTCGTAAAAGGACAAAGGACATTAGGGTGCTCGAGTTCAAACTTTGGTATGAAATTGCACTAAGTCAACTTAAAAGCCTTTGTTCTTTTACAAAAAAAAAAAAAAAAAAAAAAAAAAAAAAAAACGATGTGCCACTTTAAAAAAAATCTTTTCCGAATATATGCAAATTATTCATCAGATTTTTCCCATTACAAATTTGATAGATAGTCAAAATCTAAAAATAGCATAATTTTTACCTTACATTTTGTGTAGGCATATATTTTAAATTTAATTTTTATAAATTAATGTCTTTTTGTACTGTAGTGACCCATATCAACGAATACCGAACCATCTTGGCATACTCATTTCATTGTTTGAATGCTGCTGTCATTGAGTGTGTGTATGTGTATGTGTTTGTGTATTTATTACTAAATGGCCAATTGGCTTTTGTTAATTATACAAATTTGCGCCATCAGACAACACAGCCAATGAATGACAGCCAAGATGCGAATGATCTACTCTTTTTGTGTCTTCAGTGAGCGAGCTAGCGAGCGAGTGAGTGAGTGACGAACGAAGGTGATAATGGGGTCTGTTTTAATGATTGTTTGACTTCAGTGTGTGTTTTTTTCAACAACGAAATGGCGACCATTTGCATTGTTGATGCTACGAATTTTGTAATCATGTTTTTAGTCAACCCTCTTCTTTTCGTGACTCTTTTGTTTTAGCACAAAAATTTAAATAATCTGATTTAAATTAATTTGATTTAAGGTAGCTTCGTCTTATTTTCTATTTGTTTTGTCATTTAATTGTTGTATTGTTGTTCTTCTTTTTCGTGTTTTTGTCGACATTCTTGGCTGAGATTTGTTTACTCGTGTCATTGGTCATTTGGTAATTGCTGTAATTAGTCGTGATTAATTATCGCCTAATGAGACAAACTATTTTTAAATTAATTTAACACATTTTTGTGGTTAATTTCAATTTAAATTGATTTTGTGTTGAAATGTGATTTGCTGGCTTTCGCAGGGACATTTTTTTAAAAGAATGATCAAAGTCAATTGGGAACGTTCGGTACCACTCAAGCAAAAACGTCTTAAAATTGCCTAAACTTATACCAATGTCATTAAACGGGTCTTGTAAGTCTCATTGAAAATCTGCCATTAAGAGTTAATGCAAATATTGTCAACATCATGGTGAACAAGGCTTTTAATAAGGTCACACAGGAGGCGAATTCAAATATTTTTGCTGCCAAATATTTTTCTGCGTGGAACCCATTAAAAAGGAAGGAAATACAAAAAAACATACTTCTCAAATTTTACATTTCAATCTTGTACATGTTTATTTTGGTCAGAAAAGATATATTTTTTTCTTTATTAATATCCACATATGATTATTAGTTAAAACTGAATTTGAAATAATTTAAATTTTCTACCTTATGAACTGTTAAAATGTAAAATTTTTTACTACGATAATCGACATTTTATACTCTACAACACATAGTGGTAAGGTTATTATGTCTTTGAACATTTGTTGGTAACATAGCGAAGGAAGTGAGATAGACCCATAGTAACTATTGAGGATCTTCATAGAATCACTTTCTGAGTTGATTTATGCATATCAGTCCGTCCGTCTGTCCACGTATTTTTGTGGACAAAAAAAAATTTCCAAGCAATAATTGCTTGACCCTAGGGCGAACCCTATTGAAATCGGTTCAAATTTGGATATAGCTCCATATATCATTAACCGATTTCGGGTTAATTGTGCAGCAAATGGCCAATATCAGTTCAAATACCTAAATTTTGTCACATCCGACCTAATTTTGTCTAGAAGCAAGTACACCAAATTTATTGAAAATCGGTTCAGATATAGCTCTTATATATATGTTTTGTCCGATTTGGCGTTCAGTCCCTCACATGCGTAATATGCACTCCACAAAAATAATATTTGGTACCTGATATCAGATACAGCTCAGAAATAAGGGTTTAAAATTTTGTCAAAATCGGTTCAGATTTGGATATAGCTCCCATATATTCTTTAACCGATTTCAGGTATTTTGTGCACCGAATGGCTAATATTAGTCTAAAAGGACTCAATGTTGGCACTTCCGACGGAATTCAGCCTAAAAGCAAGTGCTTCAAATTTTGGTGGAAATCGGTTCAGAAACAGCTATAGCTCCTATATATGTTTCATCCGATTTGCTGTTAAAGTTCCTCACATGCGTAATGTGCACTCCACAACAATGATATTTGATAACACTCCCATATATATCTTTATCAGATAACTGGTTTATTTTGCACCAAATGGCTAATATTAGCCCAAATTGACTGAATTTTGGCAATCTCAACTAAATTTATCCTAGGAGCAAGTATTTCAAATTTGGTGAAAATCGCTTCAGATATAGCTATAGCTGCCATATATATGTTTTATTCGATTTAGAGTTTTAAGTCGCTCACATGCATAAAATGCACTCCACAACAATAATATTTATTTATTATCCGATTGAGATGAAATTTTCTAAACAACTTTTGTTTGGCCAAACGACGAACCCTATTGAAATTGGGGATAATCGGTAAAAATTTAGATATAGCTCCCATATATATCTTCGTCCGATTTGCCTTTTATTGTGCACCAAACGTGTAATATCAGCCTGAATAGTATTTTTGCACATACAACCAAATTAGACCTAGAAATAAGTGTGCCAAATTTGATCGAAATCGGTTCAGATATAGCTATAGCTCCCATATATATTGTTCATCCGATTTGTTATTTTTGTCCTCCGCAGCCGTAATATGTACTCTGTAACAACAATATTTGGGGAAATATATCAAATGCAGCTCAGAAATACCTTTGCTAAATTTTATCGATATCGGATCAGATTTGGATATAGCTCCCATATATAACATCGTCCGATTTACCTTTTACTGTGCGCCAAAACGTATAATATTTGCCCAAATTGGATGGAATTCGGTACATACCACCTAATTGAGTCTAGAAGGTATTATGCCAAATTTGGTGAAGATCGGTTCAGATATAGCTATGGCTCCCATATATATTGTTCATCCGATTTGTTGCATTTGTTACCCACAGCCGTAATATGCAATCCGTAACAACGATATTCAGGGAAATATATCAAATACAGCTCAGCAATATCTTTCTCAAATTTTATCGAGATTTGTTCAGATATGGATATAGCTCCCATATATATCTTTAACTGATTTCAAATTAATTTTGCACCAAATGGGCAATACAAGTCCGAATTTAAAAGATACAAATGCTTCGGCATATTTAGTCTTTTGAACTTTAAATTATAATTATAATCATAGCGTGTATGATTACATTCTTCCATAAAAACTTTTAATTGTTATGTGGAGCTCTACTAAATAAGCTAAGCGGTGTAGGGCCCCGCCCTTTTTTTTTGAAAATTGCCAAATTTGTACCAAATGGTGGAGGGTATTCAAAGTTCGGCCCGGCTGAACTTACAGCTTTTTTACTTGTTTGTATTAAACTTGGTATCAACTTTAGCTGCTAATATCAATATTAGTACTTTAATAAAATATTTTGTATTATTCGCCTAAAAGTATGCCCCTAGTATATATTTGTCATTAAATAACCGTTATGAACTACATTAATATAAAGATGGCATTCATTATATCATGTAGTACATTTTCTGAACCTTCCACTTCTTCTACGTACAAAACAAAGTGTTTCTATCTTACTTTTCTCATCAACATTGATCCTCTGGAAAAAAATCCGAACCGTATCATCAGTCATTTTGGCTCTAAAGTTGGTTATCAGTCGATAAGTAAAATACAATCTATATATATAAAAAAAATCAATTATTGTTTGTTGGTATCTAAAATCTTTATATTTGCCAAAATAGTGAAGATATCGGTTTGAGAATTATTACACGAGATGCTGTTGGCTTTCCATCCAAATCTATCTCTCTATATGTAAAAGAAAGTTGTGTTAGTTACTACTCTTATAACATAAAGACCGCCGGTCTGATTTTAACGATTTAGACAAATTCGGAATTGCCTCTTGGCAGAAAAAAATAAAATCCAAAAAATCGCGTAAAAATGTGAAATGTGAACATTTTCATTTTGACTTTTAAAATGTACAAAAGTAATGTTTTATATTGCATATTTTTTTCCATTTTGACTTACTATTTTGGAATGCACATTTGTAGTGTTTTTTTTTTTTTTTTTTTGAATTCTAATACGATGTGTAGGTTTTTTTGGGTAGTATAAAGCCACAACGAATAAAACTGTTATTTATATATTTTATGTATTTATTCGTAATACCCAATAAATACATAAAATCTATAAATAACAATTTTATCCGTTGTCGATTTATATGAAAATTCTAAAATCGGGAAAAATCGACAATTTTTCAATGGAATAGAATTTCAAAATAATAGTACATTCTACCGACAAACTTCGTAAGGAACTTTAAAAATTTGCAGCAAAAAAAAATCAGTGAACCAGTTGAAGATTCTTTTTTTTTCTATATTGAAGTGTACATTATTTTATTGGTTTGAATTCTGAATGAATAATATTAAAAATAAAATGATTGAAATGATGATTCTACATTTTAACCATATTTTTGGTACTAATTTTAGCTTATGTTGATAATTTAAGAAGAAACCATCTTTGCAAAAAATTATCACGTTTTGGTATCACCATCATATGATTTAAGGTATTTTCGGGGTCTTGGCCACTTTTTTTATTTTTTGGCCCTTATTTGACTTCTTTGTTTCTAAGGGGGAAGAAAACCTCTTCTTTTAAATTTTTATTTTTCTGAAAAGTGCTCATCTTAGTCTTGAGGCTACCTGGGGTAAAAAACCCTGGGGTAGAAAATCATCTTACAGATAATTATCCTCATAGGAATTTATTTAAGTATAGTCCCCACATTAGTATACCCCCAAGTCCACTTTTCCAACCAATGTGTGGCCAGAAAAGAAAATTTGGTATTCTATTGAATTTGTAACTCCCAAGAGAATATTGGTTGGGAACGTAGATTTGGGATGTACGTCTATATGAAAAAAAATTCGAAATGTCAATCTGGGACTCATTCAGTCGGAAATTGTGGCAGAAACATGAAAAAAAATACGAAATTATCAAGTAACTTTATTGGATCACCACCGCACAATTTAAATGACAAACAATTAATGCCCATTTTACGGTAATCGGAGCAAAAGAGTAATTTTTTTTGGCTATTCTGACAACATTATGCCTTCAAGTATGAGGTGGACAAAACTGAATACCACGCAGTACGGGATTTTAAATGTTGGAAATACAAATTTCAAATTATGACTCATTTGAATGCTTTTTACAATATCAAAAATTGAGCTGAATTTTCACATGGGGCTATTATAGATGTTCTTTATCATATAGGTATTTAACACTCAAATTAAAGCCCTGTAGCTGAAAAGTAAGATCAGGCTATTCAAAATATCTAAAACCGACGGTAATTATATTTTTTCCCATGAATATTAATTTATATTTAGTCATGGAGTCATTACTTATAATCAAAATTGTACCGCCTACATAAGTCAGATATGTGATTTATTATGCTTTAAAGACTAAAAGTACGGACCGGCAACGCGGACCGGGCCAGCTAGTTGCTTTTATATATTTGAAGTTGACGGTGTTCTATAAAATAGTAGAAACCGTTGTTATTGTTTGGGGTATTTGAACAAATTTTTCGAAAAGTGGAAAAGTGAACACTGATTTGAAAGCCCATGGATGTTTCCTTATCATCCTTTAAATTCCTTACAAATACGGGCCAGCAGACTGAATACCTGCTGTTTAAAGAAAGTATAAAACCTGATGCGAGACAATATCTCAAACTCACCATGATCATCCTCTGATGTTATGTCACTCTTGGCATCATCCAAAGTATCCTCATTGAAACTGGATTCAGGACTAGAAGATCTCACTTCACTATTTGGACTATCACTTAAAGGATTATGAATTTTATCACCATTTGCATGGGGAACTCTTTCACTTAAATTATATTTCAATTTTACATCTTCGACAAGAAGATTTGAATTTGTCACTGGTTTTGAGAGAATATTTTCAATCGAAAAACTATTGCGATATCTTTGAACGGCGGCGGCGGGAGTTTCCATTTTCTACTTCGTATACCAAAAATGTTTTTTTCCGATGGAATATCCCGTTATTTGTGTGTTTACACTTTCGAAATTGTTGTCAAACTGAATGTGGATGATCCGTGGCCGATGCCAAGAAGATGCTGTGCACAGAGCCACACCACGTCCGCCATATGGATTTGATCCTCAATTTGTTTTTCGCCCAGCCAACAAATTAAGAATTTTTAAACCAATAATATTGAGATTTATATTTAGATTCTATAACTAAATGAAAGAGAGAGGGAGAGAGAAAAAAGAGATATTTTCTCTGTTCAATACGTTCTCTATTGAAATGTTTTTATGTTGTTTTGTGAAACATGTGTGAATGCGGCAACACCCATTAGTCCTCCTCCATCTGAACAACCACTTGAGTTTGCCTTAAAGAGGAGGCGTTGCCTTTGCTCAGTCTTCTCTCGTTTTTTATTTATTTATTTTTTTATTTTGAAAATCCCCTCTCAGTTCTTTCCGTTTTTTTTTTAATTGGAAGTTGATGCCTCTATTAAGAATCATTTAAAGGCAAATGAACAACATCATTTTTCGTCTAATGAGCCGCATTTTAAAAGATCAAAAACAATTGGGCAATCAAAAGGAAAGGAACAACAACCACAAAAACAAAGAAAAATAATGGATCCCTTGTTTTCATAAAAATTATTGCTTTGCTAAATATTTTCACAAATTTTAGATGTTTTTTCTTCAAAATTTTGGGTAAATGCTTAATTTAGCACTTCTACTCATAGCGATTTGTCAATTGCAAAATTTCGTGTTGGACAGCCCCCCAGGCCTTCTCTTCCCCTGTGCAGAAGTAGAAATCTTGTGTGAGGTTTTGAGTGGTTTACCTCGGAAAATAAATTAACATGAAATTTTGATTGTAAACAATTGTTTGAAATTAATTGTTCACATTTCGCTTAAATTTGTCACAATTAATTAGCATTTTTTCTCATTGCGAATTTTGCACTGCAATTAAATAATGACTTCGAAATTATTTGGATTAAAATGGGATTTTTCATAATTTTTCATTTAATGGTGATGGGTAAGGTGTGACGATAGAATCTAATGAATTGCTGTAAATATTCGGTATTCACGAATAAAAGGGTTTTAATATAAACGAAATTAGGAGGGAGTCAAACTTAGAACTACACTAGAAAGAGCCTACTACTTCATCAGCGAAAAGTTTACCTTAAAATTTTTTTTCGTTCCAACAGTTCGTGTTAGGACTTTTTTAGTACTAACCAGTAAATTAGCAGTAAGTTCGGCCGAGTCGAACTTTGAATACCCTCTGCCATTTTAACGAATTTGGAAATTAAAAAAAAAAAAAAAAAAATACAAGTAAAAAAACATTAAGTTCGGTCGGGCCAAACTTTTAATACCCTCCATCTTAGGGTAACGGAAACATTAGAGCCCATTATAAGCCACATATACCAATTTTTAGATATAGTAATGGGAAAATGTGCCAAAAATCATCAAAATACTGAATATCGGGAAATGCGGCTATATGGGGCTATACAAAAACGTGGGCCTATACATACAGTGTTTCGCCAAAAGAAATGTGGCAAAAACCATTAAAATGCCGAATATCGAATATGGGGGCTATACCAAATCGTGGACCTATACATGCAATGTTTCGCCACCGGAACTACAACCCATTATGACCAACAAATACCAATTTTCAGACAAATCGTTGAAAAAATGTGGCAAAAATCATCAAAATACCGAATATAGGGAGGTACAGTTATATGGGGGCTATACGAAGACCTGGATCTGTACAGACAATCTTCGGTCACAGGCTGTAGTACCCATTAGGAACTTCAAATACGAAATTTAAAACAATTCCGGTGAATTATGCATAGACAGGTCTGTAGTATACACAGGCTGTAGTATACATTTGGAACTTCAAATACGAAATTTAAAACAATTTCGGTGAATTATTTCGTTAAAATTATTAAAATACCGAATATAGGGAGGTACCCGTATATGGAGGCTATACGAATACCTGGACCTGCATTGTCAATTTTCTGTCATAGACTGTAGTATACTTTACGAACTTCAAATACAAAATTTTAACAAATTTGGCGAAGAATGTTGCTCAAATCATCATAATTCCGAATATAGCGAGGTACAGTTATATGGAAGCTATACCTAAACGTCAACCTATATACCTCATTTTCAATACTAAAAGTCCTGCAGACAAAACACACATTTGAGTAAAATTTTGACAACTTCCTTCAGTTCGTTCGGAGGCTAGAGTGATTTCCAAAGACGGACGGACATCGTTAAATCGACATAGAATTTTATGGTGATGAAGAATATATATACATTGTAGTATCTAAAATGTATATTTCGAGGTGTTACAAACGGTATGATAAACTTAACATACCCTCCATTCTATTTATGGTGTAGGGTATAAAAATGCACAATTGGATCAGTTCGACAATTTTTATACCCTACACCACAAGGTGGTCAGGGTATTATGTCTTTGTGCATTTGTTTGTAACAGGAAAAAGGAAATGAGATAGACCCATAGTTCCTTTTGATGATCTGCATAGAATCACATTCTGAATCGATTTATGCACGACCGTCCGTCTGTCCATGTACAAAGTACAGTTCGCATTTATTGCCCTATCCAGATGAAGTTTTGCACAAATCATTTGTTTGGCCCAAGAACGAACCCTATTGAAATTGGAGATAATCGGTAAAAATTTAGATATAACTCCCATATATATCATCGTCCGATTTGCCTTTTATTGTGCACCAAACGTGTAATATCAGCCCGAATAGTATGGAATTTTGCACATACAACCAAATTAGGCCTGAAAATAAGTATGCCAAATTTTATCGAAATCGGTTCAGATATAGCTACAGCTCTCACATATATTTTTCATCCGATTTGTTATTTTTTTCCTCCGCAGCCCGTAATATGCACTCTGTAACAACAATATTTGGGGAAATATATCAAATACAGCTCAGAAATACATTTGCTAAATTTTATCGAGATCGGTTCGGATTTGGATATATCTCCCATATATAACTTCGCCCGATTTACCTTTTATTGTGCACCAAACGTCTAATATTTGCCCAAATGGGATGGAATTCGGCACTTACGACCGAATTGAGTCTAGAAGATAATATGCTAAATTTGGTAAAGATCGGTTCAGATATAGCTATAGCTCCCATATATATTGTTCATCCGATTTGTTATATTTTTGTTACCCACAGCCGTAATATGCACTCCGTAACATTGATATTCAGGGAAATATATGAAATACAGCTCAGAAATATCTTTGCAAAATTTTATGGAGATCGGTTCCGATTTGCATATAGCTCCCATATATACCAAATGGGCAATACAAGTCCAAATTTAAACAAGTAAGCAAAGGCTACAGTCGAGCGGGGCCGACCGTTGAATACCCTACAACACTATTGTAGTGTATTTGTGAATTCTCAAAAAAGTCACTGAAATGGACATTTTCGTATTTAGTCTACAAAAGTTGGCAAGCTATTCACACATTGAATATTTTTGGATGGCCATCCAAAACTGCTTGGCTTTTGCAATGTCCGGTAACCTCCATTCAAATGTGCGTAAGGATCGGGCGATAATTACGACCTGCTGACAATTTTGCAGTATTTTGGTCCTAAATATATGGCGATCATCTCCAAAAAGAGTTGGCTTCTATTCTGACCCTCATCTTATCCCCATGCAAAATTTCGTAAGGATCGGGCCATAAATGCGATCTGTATATGATATCCTGTTATCTCAACTACTTAGTTTTGTTAGCTGTAGAAATATTACCAAATGTTTAATTCAAAATGAAAATATGCCAAAAATATGACAAAATTTAAAAAAATATGAGAAAATGTTACAAAATCAATATTTTCAGCTTTAGAGAGATATTTTTATGCGATTTTTAGACGTTTTTTCTTTCCTGCCAAGACACCATTCTGAATTAATGAGAACTGTCGAAATCAGTTCAGCCGTTCTCGACATATAAGAGATCTTTCAAGCATATCTTCTTTGATATTTGTTAGATGTTAACATCAATGTAAAGGTCAGAAGTAACCTTGTCATGGCTTTGTGATTTCGCCGGGATTTAAAATATTCGCGGTTTAATGAAAAATTTTGAATTTTTTCAACACAAAATATATGGTCTATTTTACCCGCTAAATATTATCCGATGACCACCCAAATTAGTAGGCTTCTTTCCCGCCCTAAACTCTAGCTACGTGCGAAATTCCGCGTCGATTGGTCTATAATTGCGACCTGTATAGCTACTGCAAAATTCGACATTTTTTCAGTATTTGGTCCATTTCAACCACTAAACATTTGGCGATCATCTCCAAAAGAAATAGGCTTCTATTCAGACCCTAACCCCACTTCGTGCAAAATTTCGTAAGGATCGGGCCATAATTGCGACCTGTAGCGTGATTACAAATGAACGTGGACAGACGAACGGACGGACATACATAGCTAGATCGACTCAGCTCGGCGAGCTAGGAAGATCCATATATACTTTCCTATATGGGAAACCAATATTTCAAGGTGTTACGTAAATTCTGGCCCAATCAAACTTATAATACCCCCAACACATAGTGTTGTAGGGTATAAAGATACAAATGCTTCGGCATATTTAGTCTTTTGAACTTTAAATTATAATCATAACTTGTATGATTGAATTCTCCCATAAAAACTTTTAATTGTTATGTGGAGCTCTATTAAATTAGCAAAGTGGTGTAGGGTATCATAAAGTCGGCCTCGCCCGACTTTAAGATTTTCTTTACTGGTTTTATCTGTATTAGATGAAGTATGAAAACGGAATGCTTCGGTCGACTATATCTGGTATATTATAATATTTTATAAAAAATATCACATATCTCATATAAAGTGAAGGAAGTAACCAATACAGTCCAAACATTCTCCATAGAGGTTCAACTATTTGAAAAACCATAACAGAAGTCAAAATATATTTAAATAATCGAATATCTGTCGGCAAAACCGACTGATATTTTTAAATTAATTTGGGATAAGAAATGGTACCCCTGATTCTGAGTATTGCTTAAGTCTCTACATTTAACGACCGAATTCGTTATATTTTGTCAATCTGGGTTCCTGATTGTGCCACAAGAAGTTCTCAATAAGG